AGAGAGCAGAGCAGGGTACTGGTGGAGCTCGTCGACATGATGTTTGCGCGAAGTAGCCAATCTTTTGCAGCAGGGTGTTGGGTATTCTTCCCTCTGACATCTGCTGATGCTGGCACCCCGATGATGGTCTTTACGGACGTTGTCTTCCTCCTGCTATTCGTCCCCATACAAGGTGGGATGAGCAGCAGCGCCGCGAAGACCTCAATACCCCAAACTTGCGGGAGCGACCTTAGGATAAGTATGCATGTAAATGAAAAATACCATTAAAATCGACTTCTACGCTATGCGATACAATATAATACGTATGGGCAGGCAGTAAGCAGGAGCCGAGACAATGAAGTGGTCGTAGATTACCGAGATGTAGCGATAATGTATCAGCAGGGTCTAGGTGTCTGGGCGCCAGGGGTACTTACTTCCCGAGAGCGTCATGTGATCCTCGGAGTCCGCCAGAGTCCGGCAGACTCGCCGGACTCAACAGTCTCGATATTTTGAGCCAATGGCGCCTCGATCCTCAGCAGCAGAGACAGCCACACTGGCGTTAAACCAGATAACTACCACAGCGTCTACTCTAAGACTACTCCTCGCTTGGTACGACGTCGACCGCGACATCGCGGTTGTTCGCGTCGCGTGCTCGCCTTGCTCATCAATGCGCGGACAAGGTGACAGGCTGGAATTCCACAAGATCCGCGAGCTCATAGACGGCCTGTGAGTACTTTGCGACCCATACGCGGGCCCTCATTCGTCGAAGTGCGATGCGCGAAAGGAACACTCGACGCTCAAAGATCATCGCTCAAGCTCTCATATGACTATGACTACCAACAGTAAATCCTGATACATCCGGATGAATAGTATACAGAAGTCAGAAACGAGACAACGACGATTACTATGACACAATTTCGGCGCACGTTAGCTTCCCCGCCGAAGCAGGTACTAGTCCCGAGGGCCACGTAGAGGCCTGCGCCACGAACGACCGCGCCGCACAAGCGACGGTCGACCGTACCTCGGGTCGGTGTCTTGAATCGCAGGGCCGGCGGTTGCGCTCGATGCGCCTGCGAAACCGGGCTTAATTTCTATATATAAATAATAATAATTTATCTTGAGGTCACGCATGTCTTGATGGCTGCAAGGCGCGAGTCAGCTGAGAGCAAGACGGCGACGAGTGGTAAGCGAGACGTACGTTTTACTTGGTGCGACGCCCATCGAATTGATGGAGCGTCGCTGTTCGCCCCATTGGATTTGCGGGGCATTTCGAGCTCTTGACGTGGGCCGTACAACCATCCCTGGCGCAGGACGCCCTTACGATGGGGTGGTCAACCGGGCATGAGTGGCGATGGCGTCTTGAAGCCGTGCCCAACGCTCGTTCACACATATTTTGCAACGGGTAGGGCATAGGGTGGGGCGGGCATAGAGACATAATGGGAACATACCGACTCGACAGCCCCTCTTCTCGAGTTGCGAGGGCTATCGACGCCACTGTCGAGTGGTTGAGGGAAGTCGACCCGTCATCGAGCGGTGAACAGCTCCCGAAGCAAAGGTTGATGGCCATGACACGTCGACCTGAAGACGAACGTAACCATGGCCGGGAGGCTGCCTCCGACCGTGACACTGAAACGAGTCAGTACCGCTGGGGGGAAAGAAGTACAGACAAAGACGTACCATGTTGACGACAGCCTCCCGCTGACGACGCGACGCTTAGCGACTCATCAGGCGCGACCCATGTGCCCAGGGACCACCGAGATGGCTGCCCCGTAGACGAGCCGGGATGAGATGCGCATCGGCGCGTACGTCGTCGACCCGCGCCACTTTCGTGGCACGTTCCAGGTTGCAGCGTCCGTGCGGTTCGCCGCCCGCCGCACTGACGGTGAGTGCTGAGTGGCGGGCAGGTACTGGTCCCGGTCACACCCCGGCTGACACGGCAAGGCCGACGCGGGGCGCCGACGCCAGGGTCGTGTATCCGCTCCGCCGTATCGGCACCTTGAACGCGATCCGCGCAGGTGGGCCGGGCGAAACAGACCTGATACGACCCATACCGAGACGGTACACCATCCACGCCACCTGAACCACCTTTAGGACAAGTCCTGGACCCGAGGAGAAGAACAAAAACTTACTAGTTTGACGTCGATGGCTACCGGATGGGGGTGTCGACGCTGTAGCGAGCGTTAGAGGGGCATCGGAGTGGTTAGGGAACTGAGCATACGAGTGCCACGTCGCGTCCCCGCTAGTCAGAAGACGTCCAAGTGCGAGAAGACTATCGTGGGTCCGGTGTGTTGAGGAGCCCAAGGGCGGTATGTGTCGAGTTTACGAGGCCATGAGGCAGTGACTGGGGTGTTGGTTGCGGTGGGAGTGAGGAGAAGGACGAGCCAGCGACATCTGACTTTATAGGTAGATAGGGCGTCAGTATGCGGAATGCTCCGGGGCCACTGAGCTCCATCACGGTCGAGGTGTCTGGAAAGGAGACTATTGTTTGTGTCTGAGCGGCGCAGCCATCGATATCATAGCGCGGAGCGGTGATTCGAATACTCGGATCACACAAGGCGGACCCGGCTCCTGCCTTTCAGGGTAGCATGATTCTTCTCGGTGCACCCTAGAACCGATTGGAAAGATAATCAACGAAAGGGTCCATTGTACGCCTGCGACGACAATACCTTTTGACGGCCTGGACCCCGACAATTTATTTCTGGGACAAACGATCGGCGTCCAATCGTCATCGATACCTAGTGTGCCACCGTCCTCTAGTCCTCGGCATGCTAGTAATCAAAGTACTCACCTATGGCAGCTTCGTGAAGCAATTGTGAATTGAGTGATTTTGCAGGCAGAGCTTCCCGTCACAGGATGGGCGAGATGGGGCCCAGGTTTCGATGAACTGGGGTGAATGGCTGCCGCTCCAGTACCACCGATCTTGATATGGTGTTTGCCTACGTTTGCCCGTGTAGGCGTTCTCGATGGGATCCTTCCATTCTTGGACGCCTACGCCCTTGTTCTTGGCTGCATACCTCATGCGAGAAGAACCTCTTCCGCATCGCCGCCCTACATGCGGGTATCTGTTTCAGATTCATTAACTTCGCCCATTCCATCCGAAACGGACGAGACGGTGAGGGTCCAACTGGAGATGCGCCCATGGTCATGGTCGGTTGGCCGCCACTATCAGTAGAATATCATGGCCATCGCGACTAGTAGACGTTTGTCGCAGAGTGTTTGCGTGGTAGCAGACGTAGGAATTGATACTTGTGGTCCAGGCCTTGATTGCAAATGGGCGTGCATGGACTTCTGGAAGTTTGCGCCCGGCAGGTCTCACTATATGATAGATGTTGAGTAGAACGTCTTTTGGGGTTGCTTCCGCGTTGTAGATCTGAACAGGGCTGTGAGACCTGAGCGCTGATCGTGAGCATTATACGGTCTTTCGGTAACAAGAAGCTGAAGCATCCAAGCTCAACAATCATTACTACTGAAACGTTGGACCTTCGTCTTGCAGGTCCTTGCCGAATGCCATCCGGTCTTCTTGTGGCTGGAAACAACGTGGAATGATGGGGTATTGCTATTTTCATGGATACACAATTGACAGAGTCTTCGCGCATTCGTTTCATCTGGATTTCTAGTCGGTCCAATGCATACCTGAAGAATCATGAGCACGGTTCGACCGTTCTGCTGATAGAGTGCAGTTGCATACGTACTTTCCGTCATACCACTCTTGTATAGTCTCTCTCTGAGCGAGCGTACCAGGCTCTAGACGCTGGTTGACGGCGTTGCAAATACAGGCAAACAGCGTCGTCGCGCGCTTGTCTACAGTCTACCGCAGGTTCAAAGTAAGGCTCCAACCATTTACTTTATGTTTATCCCAAACCGTAAAATATACGGAAAGGGTATATAAACGTTTGAAAACAGTTTAAAAAGGGTAAACAAATGGTTCCACAGGTGAGGTTGCAGACCACTCCGAGAAACACTCCATAGGGCTATTTGGGAGCATTGCATATCAGTGTATACTTATAACACTTCTTGCTACCAATGATCGTCGCTGGGAGGCCAATGAGTATCAAGCTCACTCCCAAGCTTCGTCTCAGTGAGATAAGCGCCGAAAGGTGAGGTAAGCTCCCGAACAGGAAAGTCAGCTGCCGGGCCCCGTCGATGCCATTGATCAGGCAGAAGCAAGGCAGGAGTCGACCAACGGTCAACGACCTTGACCTGCCCTCTACATGGCCCTCTGATACCTTGTCTCCTGGTCTTTGGCCTTGCTGGTATGGTGGTACCAGCAACCATTTATTTACTGTGTACAACTGGTTTATGACCGTTTACGGGAAAATGGGTAAATAAATTGAAAGGTAAACGAAAACAACCGTTTATACACAGTAAATAAATGAAATGGTTGGAGCCTTAGTTCAAAGATATGGGTCCGCTCGCTGGAGGATTCTCCATTTTGAGCTTGCGCACGAACAAGGCAGACGCCATCGATTCGTCGTTGATATCGTCAGGGAATTTGATCACAAGGATGGTAGGATTCAGCGACTCATCCGCAACGTTGAACGCACTTGTGAAACGTAAGGCGTGTATGTGACGAAGGAATCCGCGAAGATGAAATCAGTGAAACGGTTGGGCGCTGTCAAAGGCGTTTGTTTATACGGCCCCGCCGGCCTAGCTATAGTACCAGCTGGAGAACGTCACGAGTTGGCAGCAACATGAATTGGTGTAAACACTGCAGGTACGCTCACCGTTCTCAAGTACGAAGTATATGCGGGAGTCTGTCTTGCCCGCAAGGCTTGTCAAGTGTTGCCAGCTTTTCTCTAGTTGAGTATCTTCCTGGAAAGACCTACAGGAAGTCCAGGTAAGAGCTTGATCGGTCCCCGGTTGGTGCCATGATATCAGAACCCGTGATTTCACATAGAGATAGTATCCCATTACATCTGAAAAGTCAGGATATACAGGTATCGGATCAATTAGCACTACAGTGTCCACCATGAACCAGAGTCAACCCAGGCCGAGAGACTAGTAAGGCTATAGATACATCCGAAACCTGGGAAAGAACGCGAAGGGATATAATAATATGGCTACACTGTCTGGTCTGAGGCGCAATGAGTGTGCAAATACGAATACAGTCCGTGCGATCATTGCGCGCGTGAAGATTCGTAGCAGGGCGTAAGCAATGTCAGAAGCGGAGAGTCCCGGACGTCCCAGACGTCCTATTCATGTCCATGCATCTATCTTCGGCACTCCGGCCAGAACCCGTCTCACAGAAGCGTGCGGGCAATGGCGACCGCCATGAGAGCCAAGGGGACCCCAGCACCGCGGATAGACGGCGCGCCGTTGGTGGTGGGGCTCGGGGCGGCGGCGACGGTGCCCGTCGAGACGGACACTGCGCCGGTGCTCGAGGCGGACGCAGAGGCACTCGAGCCGCCGGACGATGCAGAGGCGGAGGAGCCCATCGCGTTCTGGAGGAATGCCGAGAAGGTATTTCCGCTCGTTGGCGCGTTCACAGAGAAGACCATACCGGCCTTGCAGTGGCTCGCGGGGTTCGTCTGCTTGCAGTAGACCCAGATCGGTGCGGTCTGTTAGATGAAGTTGGGTGGTCAGGAACACGGCTCCTAGTCCAAAAGACACAAGGGAACGTACGTCGTTCACGGTGATCGTGAAGGTAGGGAAGTCGGTCGCGTTCGCCGCCACAGGCATGCTGTAGGATACCGTCAGCATGTCTGAACTTTCGAAAGGGACCACATGAGGACGTACAACCCAGAGTCAAAGCCGACCTGGCCGATGGTGCTCGTCTCGCTAAGAGGAGCGCACGGGTCAGCGAAGGAGCTTTGCGTCGCGGTGTGATTCTTTGCCGTGAACTGGAAAGTGATTTGCTCCCCGACTTGCGCAGTCAGGTTGCTCGGCGAAAACGTGAGCGCGCCGTTAAAGCCGACTGTCACGGTGTGGACTGCAGCACTCGAGGTGGAGGTACCGGTCGAAGACGCAGAGGCGGATGCGGCGTTGGTGGTGTACGTGGTCGTCTGCGCGGAGCCGTCGACGGTGACAGTCGCGGTGACGGTGACGACGCTGGCGGACCCGGTGGCGGTAGAGGTGGAAGTGGTGTTCCCGACGGCATTGTTCTTGAACTGGTCAAACTTGTCTCCAGGGTTGATGGCAAAGACCATGCCTTGTTGGCAGTGATTCGCTTGGCGGCAGTAGACCCAAACGGGATTCGTGTCTTGGACGGTGAACTGTGCCACAGTAAAGTTATCGGTTTGGCTGTCGGGGACAGGGACGCTGCACAGCATGTCACTGTGTGTTCAGAAGAGTTCTGAGACGGATATACTCACAAACCAGAATCAAACCCATTGGCGAGGGGCGAGCACGGAGCGTCAAGGGATGATTGCGTCACAGTGTGGTTCTTCTGCTTGAAGGTGAAGACGATGGTGTCTCCTGGGTCCGCATTCTGGCGGTAATAATCAGCACGCAGAAGGAAGTAAAAGAAACTAAGAATGTAGTAGACATACCACGAACTCCGGATCATACTGAATAATCCCAACTCCTCCGACCGTCACCTGGTGCTCAGCACCGCGTGAAACCGGGATGGCGAGACCAAGAAGGGCAGTGAGAGCAAAAAGAGACGCAAGCTTGAGCATCTTTATATGTCGTATACCAGGAAGGTGTAGTGGTACGTTGAGTTGCGATCAGGGCAAGGTCAAGTTGCTGAAGTGGGGCGAGCGGGCGAGATGTCGCGAAAGCTGAAAAGCTTAGAGACCAGCTAAGAGAGCAGGTAGAGACTGTGGTGGTCTAAGAGAATAAGGTGGGGAACGACGGGCTGTCTCATCGTGCTTTTGTAGCTGCGGAAGCGTCGGGACAAGAACAAAAGCAAACAGACGCGTTTCTTGACGCGCCGACGCCTCGTTCATTGTTCCGACACGGTCACGTGGCTGTCCTATTGTTCTCTATCTGGCAAGCGCCCAAGCATCGACAACGCGAAGCCGTACAATGAACCCCTGCCGAAGACTTCCTGAATGCAGTGACCAAGATGGGATGAGTATAGAAAGATATGTGTTCTAATTTTGATTGGTAGCGAGAGTCCCTTCGCCGGTGGACAGAGTACGGCGCCATGCATACTACAGTACAAGCGGTACCACTACATTGTACATCAACAAAAACCTACGGGACACAACTGACCGGCACACTCGATGATGCATCGGTGACCGTGAGCGGTACCTCTCATGTAAATGACTCCTATGGGAGTAGTTTTAGACATGTGTCGCAACGAATCGTACCCACTTCTCGATGATCGGCTTGAAGTGGGATTCCCACTCGTTGCCCTCCTTCGTACGTTTGAAGGTGAAGATCTCCCTGTGGAAAACCTTGCCTGAGTACGAGAAGATCATATCAGTCATGGATCAAGTACAAAAGAACGAATAGAGCTCACAATCGCCGCAGGCTTGGCCTGTTCGAGCGATGCCGTTTTCACTGCACATTTCCCCTTTCACATCTGGGAAGTCTGGGTGCAGGTAAGGGCCGTTCTCCGCATAATCTTCGAACTCGAGAAGGATGAGCCGTTCAAGGCGATGGGAGTATGGGCTCGGTTTCCCCGCGTCTGCATCTTCAGTGGAAGGCCAGGACCCAAGTAAGAAAAACCGCTTGGACCGACACTCCTTCTTCCACGTTGCCAAACGCTTCCCTACGTCCCCAGTACGCCCGACTTTGATATGAATTGCGTCCGATCGCGAATCTTTTGGGTATATAGGAGTATACTCTTGTTCAACTGCTTCATCTCTAATCAGGTCAAAAATAGCGGCTCACCGTCTATCTTCAATGCGTAGATGTATCCGGGCTCCTCAGCGTCGGAGGGCGCCAGCACCATCTCCTTCCTGATCTTCTCTTGGGTTCTTTGCTGTAAGTATGTTCTCACATAATCTGCAGTGAAGTTGAGTAGTATCGGTGACCATGATATCCATAGCAAGGGAATAATCACCCTTGAAGTAGACCCATTCATGTGACTCTCGTGAGAGAAACTCCACCTCCACCCTCGCCTTTCTCTTATGCAGATGGCAGTAATATGGTTCGTCATCGACTTGATCGCGCTGACCTGGGGGCACTGATACCGATACTGGGTTTAAGCACTTTGTACCCTTCTTCGTAAACCCGGAGCATGTCACCGTCTTTTTGATCGAAGGACACGGCGGACTCCCATCAGGCGACACCGGAGCCGAAATTGTTCTGGCCTGCCTAGTAGGTGTCTTCAGAGGTGATGCTACCGCCAGCGACCTCTGCGCCGCCGGAACTGACTTCGGGACTTGCGGCAGCTGGGGGCGCCGCCTCGGCGTCGTCGGGGGGCGGTAGGACGCAATGACAAGCGTTGATGCCGAGTCGTCAGGTGAGCCAGTGCTTTCCTTGGGGGTTTGTATAAGAGACATCAGCATCTAGCAACCGTTCTCGTTGTCATTAGAGGGGCCGGACATTTCGAGAAAGCCATTCTCCCTCCTCATTGCGAATACGACTCACCGATGTGACGGATAGCTCGTCGCTGCTACGACGGCGACTGTCTCCATCGCAAGACTGCAATCTCTCAGACTCCGATGAGTATGAAGTCTGTAACCGTTTTGAGCTGATGGAGAGACGCGTGAACGTATCCGCTAAGGTATCTGGCCGCCCTGAATGCGAGCTGATGGAGAGTCGCGCCAAGGCATCTGCGAGGTGGTCCGACTCGTTTGATGATCTCGATGCACTATAGCTGCTGTGCGCCCTCTGTACGAAGTCAGCTTCCGAAGTCTTAGTGTTGCTGCTCGTGGTGAGACCCATGGTGTCCTATGGTGACCCGTGGGTTGTGGGCTTGAGTGCTTCTGAGAGAGAAAAAGTTGGGGGCCATGGTAAAAACAATGTCGATCGCGGCGACGTCTCTGCGCACATCGTTGCCAGAGGACAAAGGGGCCAATAACAAAGGTGTGAGTTCTGACTTGCAAGAGTACTAGGGATGGCCAAGCGCTGTAGTCCATTGTAGTGGACGTCGCGGTGAGAGGCAGTGCCAGGGATGCCGATGATGAATGCCGCTAGTTAAATAAGTGTCGGTACCATCTTGGCTTTACGCACACATGCGGCAACGTACTATTGCGGATGATAACCTAGCACACCTCTCTCCTTCAGTATGCGAAAAATGTTAGACACGAAGCTTTGAAGGATGAACTGGCGCCTTTTATAGCTACGCTTGTCAGGGGACACCATATCCCTTGTTGTTCTGCGGTGAGTCACCTTCCCCCGGCATCGGCCTTGCTGTGTCGCTGTCCTTTGTGTTGTTGATGTTACAGATAGATTTCGCGGCCTTTAGGTAAACACCGTGACCACGGAGGACTACCCTATGGAAAAGCCCTAAAATAGTTGAGCGAGCTAGAGGGCAGCGCAACGGATCAGGCGTAATCAGCTCGAGGCCATGTCTAGGTCGCAACTTGATCTGAGCTGGTACGAATCGGCTTGCTGAGGTGTCCGGGACGCAAGCTGGACATCTTCCAATCTTCTCAACTTGCAAGCTTTTCCTTCACGATGGTCGGCTTTACAGCTTCTGTGCATAGAGTACATAGGAGCAGACGTACATTGGGGAATCACTCAGCACGATATGGTTACACACTATACAACAACATCAAAGATGGAAAGCAATTGCACAGCGAGGTCCAACATATGCACGACGCGGGGTCTCATACGTACGCTTCGACGAACCCGCCCCACTTCTCGATGACGGGCTTGACGATCTCCTCCCACTCCTTCCCCTTGTAGCGGCCCTTCTGCGCACGCGGGAAGGAGAAGATCTCCTTGTGGACGGCCCCGCCTGTTCCCGCTTGTGTCAACAACGGGGAAAAAAGAACACCACGAACAGACGTGGACTCACAATCGGGACACGGGGCCCGCGTCGCGGCTCGGCCGTTTCCCGTACCACTGCCGCCTTTCATGTTCGGGAAGTCGGGGTCCAGGTATGGCGCGTTCACGGCCAGGTCCGCGAGCTCAAGGTGGACGAGCTTCTCGACGCGGTGGCAGTAGGGGCCGGGCTCCCCGACTTTGACGCGGCCACGCGCGAGGTTGCCTGCTTCTGCTTCGGGCGTCGACGGCCAGAAGCCGCGCAGGTGGGTTTGCTTGGATTGGCACTGCTTGTCCCATTCTGCGAGGCGCTTGGTGAGCTTGACGGCGCGGCCGACCTTGATGTGGATTACGTCTGGGTTTGCTGGGTCTGCTTGCACGTATTCCTCGGTCAGCGACGTTGAGTTGCTGCATGGAATGGAGTCACGCACCGTCGATCTCGAACGCGTAGATGTAGCCCTCAACGTCGGCTGGTGAATGCTTCAGCCTCATCTCCTCCCTCAGCAGGTCCTGGGTATCTTCTTGCAGGTATTCCGGGATCCACGCTACGTACATGGTCCTGGGCTCAGAGACGCTGGGATCTGCCACGATTGTCTGGGAAACGCTCACCGTCATAGTAGACCTCGACGCTCGGGTCCTTGTGCGAATAGAACTTCTTGTCGCTGAACGCAGCCTTGAGGTGCTGGTGACAGTAGTGCGGAAGGTCCTCCCCGTTCAGGCGTGCAAGCGGGACCGACACGGGTACCATCCTCGTGCACCGCTTGTCCGCCTTGGTGATTCCGCTGCATTGCACCCTTGGCCCGCCCCTCCCATTCCCATTACCCCCCGACGAGGATGATACGGAGGGAGAAGGAGGACTCGACGCCGCGCGCGGCCGCTTGCTTGGGGTCTGCAAGGCGGAGAGGGAAGGGCGCGCGTTCGGCGCGGACGAGCCGGGTTTGGCGGGGGCGGAGTTGGGCGCTTGCTGCAGCTGGGGACGACGCTGCGGCGTCGTCGGCCCCGCTTGCAGGTTATTGCTCGAGGTGGACGGAACCGCCGCAGAGTCCGAGTGCGGGCGGGGGCGGTCGTGGCCTTGGGGCTTCAGCGCACCGTCCTTCTGCGGTACGGGTGGCGGGGCGAGGGGTGTGCCGAGCGGCGCGCTGCCTTCCATGGCGTAATGCATCGTGCGCGAGGTCTGCGGGACGGGCATCGGCATTGCGGGAGGTCTGGGGAGGGCGCCTGGGTACAGAGCGGGCTCGGGAAAGATGATTGGTGGTGCGCTGTTCGCCAATCCGTGCGGGGCCACCGGGGGCCGCGGGGGGACTGCGGGGGGAGGGTCGATTTGCATCGCGTGAGGGTGGGGGACGTACGCGGGACCGCTGAACCCCCCGACGAAGGGCGCACTCGTGCGGCGGGGTTGCCCTTGTCGCTGGCCATCATGTGAGTGCCTCCTGCCTTCGTTCGACCGTGTGGGATCTAGGGAGAGGCGACCGAACGCGTCCGCGACGCGGTTCGGGTCGGAGGAGGACGAGGCGCGTCCGCCCCCTGCACCTGCATGAGTCTTACCGTGCGGGTTGGAGAGGGTGTCGGGGCGAGGACGGGTGGAGGTGTTCAAAGCCATGTCGTCCTGTGTCTGCTTCGGGTGTCTCTTGAAGAGGGAGAAGAGGCCGTGGGGCATGGCAACCGTAGCAGCCCGCGCGCGTCTGTAGCGGGCGTCGATTGTGCGCCGTTTGCGAGCTGCGACGTCGGCAAGAGGACAAAGGACATGCGAACTGACTCGTCAGCCTGTACGCACTCGGGGGGCGTGGGGAGCAGCGGCACAGGGTGGCAGCAGCATGCGGCTGAGATGGGCGCTCGCGAAGGGGGGAGTATTCGAGAATGGCATTCAACTCTTTTAGGAGAGTCTGCTTTCCCTCCCCGAGTCACCTTCGCTCGTTTGGCTCCTGCTCTCTTTTGTGTCAACATCAGCGCCCACAGCCTCCGGAACGTTATTCACGCGCGATCTTGTGGACTAATCTGATACATCGTAACTAGTGGCGAGCCTCGGAGGTCTGCGCTTCACATCATCTGTGCAAGCTTGTTGAAATCCAATCGATTTCTCGACTTCTACGACCGCATTCTTTGGGTTGACCAGTGACGGGCGATATGGAGGACCCGGAGTTGGCGGCGATTCGTGCGGCAAGGCAGCAGCAAGGCGGCGCGCAGAGTGGGGAGGACGATGGTGCGAAGCAGGCAGCAGAGGAACAGATGCGCAGGGATCTGCTCGCGACGGTCCTGGAGCCTGCTGCACGAGAGCGACGTGAGTTCGCGCATCTTTGTGTTGAACGAGTCAAGAATTGACTTTCTGTCTGCGTGTGCTCAGTGGCCCGGATTGCTCTTGTGAGCTCGGACCGGGCGCGGCAGGTCGAGGCTCTGCTGTTGCGCATGGCACAGACTGGTCAGTTGAGGGGGAGGGTATCGGAGGAGCAGCTCATCGAGTTGCTTGATCAGGTATGCTTCGGTTGCTCTTAGTACGTCCGCAATAATATCACGTCTATGATAGCTCGACGGTGCGCAGTCGAAGGCTGCACCCTCGAAGGGCTCGATCGTGGTACGTGCATCCCGATCAGCCTATAGTGAGGTCGCCCGTTGACTTCATTCTCGCAGTTCCAGCGTAGGAAGGGGGGTTTTGACGACGATGACGATTGGTGATTCGAAGAAGCACAAACATCCATCTGTATCAGTACCCGCCCATCTTGCTCGCTATCTGTCGCAACTCGCAGCATTCGTTGCTTTCGCTCTGCTTGGATACTGCTTCCCTGACCGCCACAATGACTCCAGAAATTCTGCTTCGCGATACGATCCAACATCACCTCAACCTCGAGGCAAGCACCCACAGCGGGGCGTAAGGACCCGCGCTGGAACTAGTCGTCGACAATCGAGGCGTAACGGATCATGATATGTACACAGGTGCTTGCATGAAGCCAGTGCAAATACGTAACCTACAAACATGCAAGTGCACGAGTAGTTTGCTAGTCCGAGTAGGTTGACGTCAGTTAACATGGAAGGAATTGCGATGGTCATAAGATGACGCTGATCACGGATGTTGGAGAGTCAATCACGTAACCTCGCAATAGCCTTGAGATGCAGATGGTGGTCCTACATACGAAGTGCAGATCGGAACTTGCTGGTTGACAGTCCATGCGCAGAGGGGCTGTGCAGTTGGAATGAGTTATGGGCGTCCGCCAAGATCGGGTATTTGGTCGTGTTGTCTGCATGCCACAGCAAAACTCGGCAAGCGCCTGATTTGTCGCGTTCACTCACTCTCTCCGAAGCTCTGCCCGTCCTCGCTCGCCTTCATCTTTCTTCATCGCTGCCTACAACGCCGTCTCGCGCGCATACCAAATGGCTACTCGAATTCACACTAACTCGCCGCTGCCCGCCCCAGCGATGCACGCCACACATGGTCTCCCTCAATCAAAGTCGCACGTTCTCGCAGGCGTGCAAGACGCGTACTGGAGCGACGACGAGGCGGTGCGTATATCCCCCACGGCGCGACTTGTCTCTCTGTATGCAGTAGTATCTCATGTTTGTGGACGCTCGTGCAGGATGAAGCGGAGTGCCCGCTCTGTCTCGAGGAGATGGACATATCCGATCTCAACTTCAAGCCGTGCCCATGCGGTTACCAGGTGCGAGTCTTGGCCCTCCAAGCTCGCCCTCGCTAGCTGACACGGCAATGCGCAGGTTTGCCAGTTTTGCTGGCACCACATCAAGGAGAACCTCAACAGCCGTTGCCCTGCGTGCCGGAGGGAGTACACTGATGAGGCCGTTCAGTTCAAGCCGATCAACCCCGAGGAGTGAGTGTCTGGTTTGTGGCTCTGGTCCGAGTTTGTCTCTGTTCTACGCCTCTGGCGTGCTATACTCGCTGCGAATACCGAAGGAGCTCGCTTCCAGGTCGCGGACACGGCTGTCCATCGCCTATGGAGCACGCTAGTCTTCTTACTGTGGTGCCCCCATACCACCTCATACTCTGAACTGTCACCCTCTTCGGCATCGCCTCGGGTGGCCTTGTCTGACGTCTCCACTGAATTCGAAGCGAAGGGTTCGCCTTTATCCTTCGACAGTATGCATGAGTATATGCGGCCTCATTCGAACCCGAGCTATGAATTCCCGCCGTAGTCCCCCAACTCGTGGGCAGTCTTGCCGAATGCTCATCTACCATGATGTCTGGCCTTCTGACATTCATATGCTGTACCGAGTGTGTCCACGGGATGCTAACATGCTCTCTTTTTGCTTAGTCACAAGCGCTTGACCCAGCAGAAGAAACAGCGCGAACGCGAACGGAAGGAGCTCGATGCCCTTGGGCGCCGCCACCTTGCGAACGTACGCGTTGTGCAGCGCAATGTAGTGTACGTGGTCGGGCTGGGACCAAGGTTCGCCAAGGAAGAGGTACGCTCCTCAATTCCGTTGCGATGGGAGATCGGACTAACACTCGAGTAGCTCATACCTACCCTACGCTCGAACGAGTATTTCGGGCAGTATGGGAAGATCTCGAAGATTGTGATCACCAAGCGCACCCCACCAGGCGGACGCGCGCCTGTCGTAGGGCTGTATATCACATACCATCGCAGGGAGGATGCGGCTCGGGCGATCGCAGCCGTCGATGGGGCACCATCCCCGGGAGGAGGAGGGGAGATCATGCGGGCGAGCTATGGGACGACAAAGTACTGCATGTCCTTTTTGCGCGGAGTCACATGCCCCGATCACAGCTGCATGAACCTGCACGAGTGGGGGGATGAGAAGGATTGCTTCACTAAGGAGGATCTCACCACGTTGTACGTGACCTTTCATTTCACATGTCGTTCACCCCGAGTTTTTGCCGACACTGGGACAGGAAACACACTATGAAGGATACGGAGACGAGGAGAACGACGACCACGACGATCAAGAAGGGAGACGAGGCTGAGGGTGAGCATGCGTGTATGGCTTCGCCTCGCGTGCGGGTCTTAACGGTTCGGTTTAGGTCTTCCACGTGCGGCATCATGGGCCAACAAGAGCAGTACCTCTCTTGCCAGTACCGCACTGCACAATACCACCAACGCAGTCAATCAAGTTGCACGGAACGCGCGTCGTACAGGGACGACATCCCGACAACAACGGTCTGGCTCCACGACGGGCCCAGCACCAGCTATTGCGGAGATACGAAAGAAAGCCGCTGCGAAGGTGTCCTCGCAAGCTTCATCACGGCCCACGACCCCTGCGTCGCTACCAAATCGACCAGTCACACCCGCTGCCACAAAGGCCTCAAAGGCGAAGGAGACTGCTGTTGCTCCCCCACAACCTCCCCCACCACGTTCTCCCACGTCGTCTGTTGCCGTTGACTCCGACTCCGGTTCGGGGGCACCTGATGTCGCCTCACCGCAATCGCCGGCACCTCCGACGCGGGACGTTCCAGCAGTGCCTCCTGGTCTGCCAGCAGTTCCCCCCGGGCTTTCCCCCGTCGTGCCGCCCGGTCTCGTTGCGCCGCCCGGTCTCCCACCCCCGTCGTCGCGTGTTACTTCCGAGACCGCATCCCCGATCCCCATACAGCAATCGCAGTCCTCGTACCAAATGTCGTCGCAAGCTCAGGCGCTCATGGAGGATCTTCGCGCCCGCCGCGAGTCGAGCATCGCGACGGTTGTCCAGAGCCCGTTCCCCGATTTCGACCGGATGTTGCAGAGCTTGAACAACGATACCGGGTTTGGCGGATTCAGCTTCAATTTGGACCCGAAGCTCGCGGGGGACGTGCCAGAAGATGCGACGCTCGGGTTGCCCGACTTTGGCGCGGATGCTGACGCGAGCGTGCCGTTCAGCGGGGGTTTCTTTGATGTGTTCCCGACCTTGCGTCCGACAGGGCAGGCTGCGGCGAGTGCGGGTAGTCCGCTTATGCCTCCACCGGGGATACCGTTCGCGGCGCACGGGCAGAGAACGGTGCTTGACCCGCTAACAGGGAAGGGGACGCTGGAGCGACAGTCTACCGGCTCGAGCTATACGGGGTCGTTCAATCCGTTCGGTGGAGATGGAGCCGATGAGGCCCTTTCACGCAAGTATTCGCCTCTCGACGAGGAGCGGAAGGTGTCGAGGTTCGGCTTCGCGAGGGGCCGTCATGGGTCGGCCTCGTCATCGTTGCATGCGTCTTCGCCGCTCAACAACTCCGAGACCTTGTCTCATGTGGCCTACCATAACAACGTCGGGGACTTCCCGGGACATGGGTCGCAGTCGCCACAGTGGCCGCTCTCAGCGCGACACAACGACTATGCGAACCATCACTACCAGAGCAGCTCGGCGATGAGCTCGCCGCTTGCCCAGCATATGCAGGCTGCCCAGTCTCCTTTCATCAATAATCACACCGTCAACCACAACCACAACCATAATCAGCAGCAACAGCAACAGCTGCCGCAATTGAACCGGTTCCAGTCATACGACAACGGCGGGGTCAGTGAGCAGCAGCTGAGGGAACTGATCATGTCGAGTCGCGAGCGGATGAACGTGTCGAGGAACGGTCCGATGGGTAGGACACATCCTCTAGCTGTATATGTGTAATGTCTTGTTGACTTAGACAACCTTCTCTCCTCTTCTCTTCGTCCACCTATGGCACGCGACTTTTCTTCTGCGATACAGATCAGACAGCGTACAACCACAACCCAGGACAACCGTTCAACGACCCTGCTATCATGTCGGCGCGGCTGGCTTCTTCAAGTCTTGGTCAGGCCATTCCGAACGGTCGGTTTGCTGCACCTCCAGGTATAGGCATGGACGGGTTCGGATCGCATCCTATGGCCTTTGCAGCCCCGCCTGGGTTGTCCTTTCAGGAGGACGCAGTAGGAAGCCCTGGACTTGCGAACCAGCACGGTTATGGAGGGCCAGCAACGGCACATGTGGAGGTCTCACAGTCAGGAGGTTCAGCGCATGGTGAGTACTTGTCGCTTCGTCTCTCGCGGGGAGGGAGTCCCAGGTCAGAGTACCGAGCTGCCGTGCTTTCAGTGCGGAAACTGTATCATCGGCCTTGATCTTTGAACGATCGCCAACGGCCCGGTTCCCTCTATTCTTCCATTCCCACTTCTCGCATTCTCCACCGCTCTGCTGCTCGAGCCGTGTGTCGTCTATCTGTCCTTTCGGTAGGAGCTCCGCTGAAAGTACGTTGACGCTGACATACTCTTGTTCCTCTTGTTGGGTCTATCCTTCGTCCCCTCCTTTACGCTCCCTCGACCGTATACGCGTCCTCTCCTACCGTCGTTGTGTCTTCTCTATGCCCTCTCCTCTCGTTACGTCCCTCCTTCGTTTCGTGATGTCTTTGTTCGTCGCGATGGCGTGCAGCGTCAACGGTCCCTTCGCCCGTTCCTCCCGATTCTCCTGCTTTGTCCACCTCAGACTTCCCTGCGCTGGGCACGACCGCCGAGCAACTAGCTCCCGTCCCCTTCTCCGACAAATCGCAGACTAGCGGTGCAATCGCGACGCCGGCGGACGCCGACAGCGCCGCGCAAGAGAAGGCCGCGCGCAAGGCTGCCAAGAAGGCGGCTGCGGTGGAGCGTGCGGCGGAACGGGCGCGGATTGCTCAGGAGAAGGCAGCAGCGCGCGTAGCAGAAAAGGAGCGGCACGCTAAGGAGAAGGCCGCGGAGAAGGAGCGGCTAGCGGTAGAAAAGGCGGAGAAGGAGCAGGCGGCGAAGGAGAAGGCAGAAAGGGAGAAGGCAGACAAGGCAAAGGCGGCGAAGGAGAGGGCTGAGCGAGTGCAGGCAGAGAGGGAGAAGGCCGAGCGGCAGGCGGCCCAGAAAGCTGAGAGGGACAGGGAGGCAGAGGCGCAGAGGGCTGTTGCTGCCGCGGCCAAGGCTAGCAAGCAGGCGGCAGGCAAGGCTGCCAAGGCCACGACCCCGACTTCTGCGAGTGGTCCTGCTACTGTCGTGGACAAGGCGGGGCGCAAGGCTCAGGCTTCCAAGCAGGCGGCTGCTGCCACCCCGACTCCTGAGCCTGTTGTCCAGGCTCCTATCCTTGCAAGAATGCCGAAGAAGAACAAGCCCGTCACGAAGCCCATCAAGATCCCGAGGGAGGATAATGCTGCTGACGCCGCCTCTACACTGCCCTCTGCTGCCACCTCGGATGCGCCCCAATTTCCTGACAGTCGCGGGCCCGATAGTAGCTCGAACAATTCTCGCGCGCACTCCGTTGATCGGCCAACTCCCATTCAGCCTATGTCTGTCAAGGAGATGCTCGACGAGCTCAACACTCAGTTCCCGTGGCTCGGGATATCGAAGCACCCCTTCTTCGACATGACAAAGATCAACCCTGCGTCGAAGGTCCCTCTCGAGTACGGTCCCCTCGTGCATGCTCTCTCGGCTTTGTCGGTTGGAGGCGGCTCGTTCGCCAACAACATGCCCTCTGGTTCAATTGACAATGCCGTCTCTTCGTTCCAGCAGCTGCTTGAAACGTTGACACAGACCATTTCGGATCTTCTGCGTCTGCTTCCCCGTACGACTTGGGACGACAGCTCGTCGTTTGACGGTGTCCTGCGTGACATGCTCAAGGGCGACGACTTCCTCGACGATGGCGGAGACGATCAAAACAGCCAGGAAAAGGAGGATGAAGTCGCAGCACTGACCCTTGCGCTTGAACGCCGCGCACGCTGGATGGAGGTCCAGCTGTCAAAGCTCGAGGAACTCCATCGGGACATCAACAATGCTGCTGTGCGCGCTGTGCTCACGTTCAACGACAGCGGCTGGGACGTACACGGAACTCTGCCGAAGGTGGGCAAGACGCTCGAGCGGTTCGACAAGCTCAAGTTCGTGCCGCAGGAGGACAGAGAGATGACGGCGGACGAACTAGAGAAAAAGCTGGTGGTGGCGAAGGAGGCGGCGCAGTTTGTGGAGGCGGAGTTAAGGGAGGTAATGCGGAACTTGCAGGTGCTGAGGCCCACGGACGACTTGGCTCCAACGGACCAATATTGAGCAGTACGATGCGGCGTGGACCCAGAAGACAACGTTGTCCGTGTATGAACATACAGTACAATCGTGCATTCGATTAGTGCAAAGTAGTAAACAGCGTCATGCGCTTCTTTCTCGCCTGTGCATTGCTGTGACGAGAGGGTGGCAGCATCTCGGTATGTCATTCAATAGCTACAGCTTGTGTGCTGGCATGCTTTGATCAATCTCAGTAATACAGTGTTTGGACAGTGTCGATTGTATCGAGTTCGGCGATCTGATGAAGCTGATCGGACAGTTCAGCCGCCCTCGGCGTGGTTTCGAACCATTGTGCGTGGGCCTGTGAAAGGGCCACTTCAGTTACCTGAACCGTCATGATCCTCATGAGATAGCTTGCCTGATCACTTGGCCACCCCACGAGGAACATCATTGTGTGCTCATTCTCGACGACACGTCCCGACGTCGCTAGCACAGGAGATATCGGCGATTTGTCCGTGTTGGCTATGTCGACGAGTTTGTTCAGGACCGACTCAAGCTCTTCGATCGACCTTCCAGGATGCAGCGTGCATGTCGCGACTTCGAGCAAAGGAGCCTCAAGTGCCGCATAAGGTTCGACAGAAGTCTTTATGTGGACCATGGTGAGACGACTGAGGTCGAACATGACAGAAACTGCGTCGAGCACGGGCTGATACTCTGCTTTGTTGTTCATGAACTTCTGGTGGTGCTCTAGCGACTCCCAGACTGGACAAATACTGCGTGAGAAGCGCGTATACAGGCTCTAGGGGGTAGCACTACGGACCGTAAAAGCCGTAAGCGATGCTGCTGTCTTCGCTCTTGAGGCCATAATATGCCCTATGGAGGCTTTGTTTAGAATTTGTGTCGTATGAACAAATGAATATCTCTATCTGCTCACTTGATGGCACCGTCCTGCTTCAAGATACCATCATAGGCGGGTTTCACGAGTGCGGGGTCCGCAGGATTTGCTTGGAACGCCTCTGGAGTAGGACCGAAGACAAGTTCGACGATCGGCATGCTGAACGTGGACGGGATCCTGGTAGCCTTGTGGGAGAGAACTAGTGGGGGATAGATGGACGGCCTTAGAGGTCGTTGAGCCGGTCCTGCTGACTCCGGATCTCTCAGTGTAACCTGGATACTCCGACGTGAGAATGGTGAGTTGATCTCAAGGAGAACAACTGCCCTATTCGGCGGCCGTACATGAACTATATTGGGCATGACGCTGAAATGAGACGCTATAGGTAGACTTGGGAAGTATCGCTGGAAGAACGGGCAATACCCCTGATCATCAATTTGTATCAGTGTTGTGGTCTCTTCATGTTCATCCGAAGACTTAGCATTTACTAGTTTGAAAGGCGACGCCAATCCATGGCTACATGGATGTTGACCAATTGTATGTCCAATGTACGATATTGCCGTGCTTACAACCACTGGGCATCATCAGAGCCTCAAGGGGGTACCACCCTCAGTCCAAGTCGGATATACGGTATCTGCGGTGTCGACGCCGGTTACTCGTACGTGGGGCAGTCTTCCGATCGACTTAGAAGCTCTATGGCTTGGCGCGTAGGCTAGCTGGTGTTGACAAGGCTGTCTGTAGCAGTGGCCGAGTGCGCGGACCTTCTTTGGGGATGCCACAAAAATACCCACGCACTTGAAAGTCTAGTCAGCCGAACTGGTGAGGCCCGTGTGGACCGATTGTACTCGCTCAGGAGTAGTAGAGCCTATTTCCCATTCTTCCGTGCAAGGCTTCACCGTGTCCAAGCTACGGTACATCACTTGCAATGCTACCCGCAGGTTCCCTCGACGATGTGAACAGTGGATCATTAGTAGATGCAGGAGTGTTGGATTCTAATCAGCATAGCGACCAACTGTCACCTATACAGGGATGGTCAAGCAGTAAGAGGGGTCTTCGCCATCAAGGCGAGAATCTCCCATCCAATGTTAGCGGCTGCGATCGAGGTGATCTCATCTGAAGCATAGCCTTTAGCTCTTGAGTCTGTGGGACGCTCCATTCAAACAAACGCACCCTGCGTGTCGTAACCTTGACCACGACGGTTCTACTTAGCTCTGCAACGCGACTGACAGATGAAGAGTGAACCTACCTGGAGCGACTTCGACAATGTCTGCGCCGACGACCTTCAGGCCAGAAAGGCCCTGAAGTATCTTCTTGATCTCCTACCGGCATAAATGAATGAGAGACATGGTCTTTGCTAATTTGCGAAAGCTTATACTCATACCCTGGTCGTGAAACCTCCGATCTCAGGACTAACCACGCGCAACACTCATTAGAAAAGAGCTTTGCGGAAGTATCTCGGTGAGTTACTCACGTCCCCGTCCTATTCATGGCGATTTCGTCAGTCCGATATGGTCTCAGTGGAACGTTGAGCACTTACGCAGGGGCCACGCCCGGATCGAGTACGTCGATGTCGAGCGAAACTATCCCAGCCCCGGTTATCGCCTGTCTGAACATATTGAGACGGACTACAACGCACTGTACACGGGGTTGTCGCCAACAGTGGCCTTGATCTTCTCAACGATGCCGCGCCAGCCAATATCCTCAGCCTCCCACGCATGGGAGATAATGAAGTCGACAGCATAGTCGTCGTCGTAGTCTTGCCAGCTGTTGATTGCTCCGCGTATTCCGACGTGCTGCTACAAAGTGAGCTACCGAAGAGGACTCTCAGGACTGTACTGTACCCACAATGTTGGAGTGGTTGGGGGCAAGGAGACCTTCTTTGTGCGCGTACCAGAAATAGCTTCCGTGCGAGACAGGGATCTCCTGGGGACGGCAATCTGTCAGATGGGATCAGGGAAGGTGTCCGTCAGACACTTACTTCGTCCGGAAGCCATGGGCCGCCCTACAATGAACGATCAACCAATCGCTTGATGTTCGTTGAGGGCAACAGACTCACCACCAACTGCTTTGGCTTCCAAGTATCTGGAGCGAAGGGTCAGCCCAGAGAGTCCGTAGCAGACTCGAGTCTGCACTCACCGAGATGGCTGTCAAAGTGAATAACGCTGCAGCCATGGTCGGATAATCGTCAAGAATTATGCACATAAAGAGCAGTGTCTATACATACCTCACGGGCCCGTAGACCCCTGCAACGCCACGGAGGAGAGGAAGCGTGATGGTGTGATCGCCACCCTGACGTTGCATTAATATGACCCTAATCTCAACGAACAGTCGGCGAGCATACCAGGGTCAGAACACGAGGATGGAACTGCCCGTCCTTTGCGATGCTTTTCCCTTCATACGACCGTAGGCTGGTCTTAGATAGCAGAGCGGCATTTGCAAGCTCGAGTTGCCGAAGAGCGACCTTGTTGTCGGTCAAAACCATGGCTATGAACGAATCTGAGCATTTGATACGTATGCGAAGAGCCACGCAACTTACGGACGTCCCCACAATCAACGACATCGAGGTGGTCGGTGATGCGTATTTTGGCAGGGACGTTGATCCTATCGATTCCCAAACGACGAGCACCCTGCCGGATGCCGTTAGGGCCGAAGCGCGCACTGGAATGAAGGATTGCGTAGATCAGCTAACGGTCGCAGTACTAATCCAACGAAGGAAAGTCACCCAGGACGGAAGCTAGTAGCGGTGTCGAATGGCGCGCCCAAGACAGCAACGTCGTAACCCGTCTCGAAATCAGCGCCGAAGCATCTGAGGGGAGGAGCCCTCGCGAACGTAGTTAGACCGTTCCATGCCGAGCGCGCCCACGCTGCGTTCGACATATCGCCGCCATATGCGGCGAAGATCTCTGTGAAGTTCAGCGAGCCGAAAGTCTCCGCGTTCACGATCCCCACGGGGTACTGGATGTTGCCGAGTGCCTGAACGGACTGGCTGACGACAATGGCTACAACGCTGATACGAGATGATGAGAAGATCATGCTGTATCTTCAACAGCTTGTTCAGAGATGGTGAGGTCTTGCGCTCGGCGACTCAGCGGCCATTTCCAGGCGCGAGAGAGTACTCTTATATATGATCGTGCGAGGTACTCAAGTGCCAGTGGCCGAGATAACAAAGTGCGGCGTCGTCCGTTATCATACTCTTGTGCGACCCACATGCGGAGAAACGGGACCTGGCGTACCGGGCGGATTCCCAGGACGGGAGATAAGGGCCTGCGAGGCGACGAGATACTGCGCGTGAGTCAACTTCAGTACCATTAGATATAGATTGCTGCAGGTACAGTCTTACGAGTTGAATGATCGTCCAGGCTGATGTCGACGAGTAAATATGTTATTCCTTCGTGAGTGCCCTGCCGAGCTGGTCAATCTGGATCTGGAGATAAGTGAGAGTTTATCATGCATGCTATGCAATGCAAAGGCAGCTGGCCTCCGATAACAATCCCCCTATGTACTATGCGATTTATCGCAACTGAAGAGGTCCTCACGGCCCCACGCACCGGAGCCATGATTCCAATGCTCACGGTTCTGCGTGCGTTGTGCGCCCTGGTCACAATGCTTGATTCAGTTGGAGGACTTGTGTAGACAGGGCCCAGGGATTATCTGGATGGCTGCCACTCGCATACCGTGGCAGCCTTCAACATACCCATGGATCTGGGGTCCTATTTGATAGCCGCTCGGCGGATTAGTTAACAATATTGAGTTCTTGAGCGCCAGATTGGCGCTAAGGCTCCAACCATTTCATTTACTTACTGTGTATAAATGGTTGTTTTCGTTTACCTTTTAATTTATTTACCCATTTTCCCGTAAACGGTCATAAACCAGTTGTACACAGTAAATAAATGGTTGCTGGTACCACCATACTAGCAAGGCCAAAAACCAGGAGACGAGGTGTCAGAGGGCCATGTAGAGGGCAGGTCAAGGTCGTTGACCGTTGGTCGACTCCTGCCTTGCTTCTGCCTGGTCAATTGGCATCGACGGGGCCCGGCAGCTGACTTTCCTGTTCGGGAGCTTACCTCACCTTTCGGCGCTTATCTCACTGAGACGAAGCTTGGGAGTGAGCTTAATTCTCATCGGCCTCTCAGCGACAATCATTGGTAGCAAGAAGGGTTATAAGCATAAACTGCTATGGAATACTCCCAAAGAGCCCTATGGAGTGTTTCTTGAAGTGGTCTGCAACCTCACCTGTGGAACCATTTGTTTACCCTTTTTAAACTGTTTTCAAATGTTTATATACCCTTTCCATATATTTTATGATTTGGGGTAAACGTAAAGTAAATGGTTGGAGCCTTAACACGAAGTCAATGCCTCTGCTTCAACACAGTGTGCCCGCCTAGTAAGCTAGTCCACAGGCAATCTCTACGTGTACAGGTATGTCTCTTCAACCACATCCGTGTGGCTCAGTGGATGCTCGGAAAACGTTTAGTCTTGCAAGTCCAACCAGGCTGCACCTACGTACTAGGCCTGCCGAGTCTGCCCGCACTGGCAGGTTCAAAATCACGCGAGTGTCCTCGTCACGAAGACAAATAATAACTTATATAACTACGCATGAAGGTGCGGTAGTAGCGTGTACCATCTTGTAGAGTACTCGGTTCTTCATCCGCCCGAATCAGCATTGCTCGACGTACACAATGCCGATCGCACTCCCACACCCAGTATGTACACAGCACTGTGGCTCACAGCTGACCAACCTCCTTCTAGCAGGGCGGTCGATGATCTTGTCATCACGCATACCTGGGCTCCTAGAACGGCAGCACAAGCACATACTTCATAGGCCCGAATCCCTAGTCGACCGACCTGAGAGGCAGCTTTTGTGCTTCTGGATGCGCCCCAGTTTTGGACCCGATGGAGGTCCCGCACTGAAACCTTCCCTCGCCATCTCACTCACCTGCATGCAATTCGTGGGAACGGAGTTCCGCTACGACCACATCGACGCCAATGCGTAACACGACCTTGTTAGGATATGCTCCAACGGTCTTCACAACTTTCAACGTTTAGACGCGTACACTCATCCGGTAGCTAATTCACCCATCTCTGCGTTCCCAGCCTTGTTTATCCTCGAGTCACCGTCGCTTTGGTACGAAATCAAGGTCTGGCCAGTCTACCGCGCGCGTCTGGTGTACCCCTCAGTCGGGCCACAGGTGAAGGCGGCCTTGAAAGACCTAGCCGGCTTGTGCGCCGTAAGCGTCGTCCTTAGTCCGCCACTGGGAGGGCATCGCAGCGGAAGAGTTTATCCGGGCTGATACGTGCGTCCTGACAAGTCGCGGCAATAGGATCCCCAGTACTCGGATTGGAGATGGGCTAGAACGCGCAGTCAAGAGAATATCGTGACGATATGATCAAGAGTATAAAGACGAACAATTCTCCTCAAGAGTTGATGTGACGATCTTTGTCATGCTCTATTTAACTGGTGACACATTGCGCCCGCTGATCGATTACTGTCAACGTCGCATGGCTGCTAGTCAGTCACCGTTCACTTGCAATGTTACACAGGATTCATCTCGTTCATGCTCCGAGGTAAACGAATGTATGTCAATGATTGTAGAGTATAGTAGTATACCATCACTCATTTGTCGCCTCCGTCATCTTGACCCAGAGCCCACCCTGAAGTCAGCCGAAAACCATCAGCATCGCCCGAGATGAAAGTCCACGGAGAGGAAGACAGACACATACCTTAGCGTACCCAGTCAAATGGAAGCCCATCCAAACCCTATCAGTGCCATCCGAACCAGGTGAATTGGTGTACCCGGGGGGAGTCATGGATTCCGGAGCGACCTCTGGCACGAATTCGATAGCAGAGAACTGCTGCAGTAAACGCACGAGCATGAACGATACTTCGTTGTAGGCGAACTGTTTGCAGGTCGCAGCAGTTGTGAATTCTCAGAGACAGAAGAGAAGACAGTGGAGAAAAGCCCGTACCTGCTGGCCGAGACAGATACGCGGACCGGCGTTGAATGGCAGGAAGATGAACGGATTAGGCGTGAGGTACTTCTGCACGCGTTCGTCGAGGAACCGGTTGGGGTCAAACTTCAATGCTAAAGAGATTTAGATAGCTAGTCAGGACGAGCATCGGACGCCTGGCAAAAGATGCAGTATCACCGTCCGGGCCCCATAGATCCTTCCTGCGGTGCATTAGGAAGACAGAGTAAATGCACCTAAAGTGACGGATAGCGTTAGTTTCAGAATGTGGTCAACATGCTTTAGTAGTGCTGCTCACGTCGTACCGGCGGGCACGAAGACGGGTTCCCGAGTAGTGGTGGAGGGGAAGACCGTATCCCGGGCGGCCGACCTGAACCCAAAGATGTGAACTATCCGCGTAACAGAGTTAGTACGAAGCCAGACTCACCTACTGTTCATAGGACTGAAAATGCGGAACATGAGTCATGACGGGGGACACATAGGAGAGCGTACTCACACCGGAGGATACAACCGCAAAGTCTCATTTATGACAGCACGCAGGTATTTCATATTGCGGATGTCCTCATACGACGGCCTGCGCGAAGGTCCTACAATGCTGAGAATTTCCTGTCGGAGGCGGAAGAGGATATCCGGATGCTCCGCCAGACGATAAACGGCGAACGTTAGGGTAGATGCCGTAGTGTCACGTCCGGCCAACAGGATGTTGAGGATCTCGTCGTGAAGGATATCACGATCTACACGGTCCAGGACCGTCATCCGTATGCAAGATTTAGAACGACAGGGTGAACACTGACCATCGGTGACCTTCAATAGCGAGCTCAGGAGGGTATCCTCCTCTGAAACCTCCTTCGTGTCCACGATATCTGCAGTTGCCTTCTCCGCCTTCGTCCGCAATGCATCCTCGAGGATCGGGTTAATGAACTTGTCAATGGCGGCCTTGTATGGGATGACCCTGTCCTTCCAGAACTCGGTCAAGCCCCACACATCCTGGAAACGGCCGCGGCGGGCAGATGCCATCTGAGCCTCATAGAACGCAGCAGCGAACCCATCTTCCTCAGGCTGAGAGTGTCGGACATCGGCGGTAGGCGGATAGGGGAGGCCCTTTGACAGCGAGCGGACGTCCTTACCGAACAGAAACTCTGTTGCTGAGTCAAGAGTGAAGCGGGAAATCAAGTCCTGTCGGTGTCATATGAGGAAGTACTGAAGAGCTGGCAGGCGCAAAGTAGTTGGGATTGTGCATACCTGCCAGTCGATGGCGTATCCCTCCCGCATGCGCGCCTTCACCTGCGTGAGAGCGTCGGTCGCGTGCCTGTCAAAATTCTCGAAATGACTGATCCTGTCTTTGCTGAAGAACGGCCTCGTCATGGAGCGATGAAATTTCCACAGCTCATCTGGGACCTGTCCATCAGCGTTTGCGACATATATTTGCACAGGGCGAAGCGGTGGTTTGCTTACTGTCAGCATTGAAGACCCCTACTCCAAGGAGACTTTGCATTTGATCGCGGAACAGTTCGCCTAAGACCCCACATGAGTTGCCGCTGTGTCGCAAGAGTAGTGGTCCGTGCCATGTACTTACCTTTTTCGAAACTATCGAAATCTGTAGCCAAAATTGCCTGTATGTTGCGCACTTAGCATGAAGCAGAGGTGATTGAATATCGGTTCAACCTTGATATGTTCAGGTTCCGACGTGAAGAGCTGCGATGAGACGGACAACATATACGTCAGAGAAAACCTGGGATATAATGGATTGGGAGGCTCACCCTTTCGACGGAGTAAAGCTCGAGCATGAACGAATGCCCCCATATCTCGCAAAGTCTGAAGAGGAAATCACCTTATAGCTTGAAGTCAGGGGTGCATGCGTGCACGATTGAAACCCCTGAGGAAGAACGTACGAGGGTAACCCTCCTCTCCTGTGAACTTGATGTCCTTTGTAAGCTTCGCAAGCGGTAACACGATCGCCCCGCGTGCGGCAGCCGCTCTCTTGATGGAAACGTCCCTCCATGCTCGGTATCCGAACCAGAAGAAGGGGAAGGAGAGTAAATAGGCGAGGACAATCGCGAGAGTCGGCAAGCGCACACCCCCAAGTCCCTGTACAAGCACAGCTCCCAAGAACACAGATGTGGGCGGTAAAACAAGGTAGTGCATGTGCCGGAGCAAGAACCTCGGACCTGGAGGTAGTGTCGGCATGCTGGACTCGCAGGACGACGAGTGGCTGTAGAAGGCTTGTACCCCTTTCGAGGCTTCGCGCATCTTTATGTTGATGCTCTTCGGCAATGCAGTACGTATGCTGTAGCCGGGCAACCTCTCTGACTGACAACGTATTACGAGATCGACATCAGCTGGTAGGCGAGCCGTGTCCGGGAGATATCGCTGTCGCAACAGCGACGCAATCGGAGATATCACCATCTCGGTCTGCTGCGACCGGTGCAAAAGCACAGTGTGCGGGCAGCGTTGATGTTCTGGGACTGTGGGACAGGGACATGAGTGTTCTGTCGTCACTCGCTTTACTGAAATTGCAGAAGCAGACTGGTTGACTCCAACGACCTATATCCTTGCGTGAACAAATGGACCCAGACTATAGACTTGAGCAGTGGACAAGAATGGATGATTGCGAGTGTATGTGAATCTCAGATGGTGCCTAGCGTGATGCTGATGGATAAGTACGTACACGAAAGCACCACCAGCAAATACAGTTAGGCATACGCATACTTGCCTGTGTCGCGTCACACTGCAAGGACGGTGCAGATGTAATTCCCACATAACAGAAGAGGCTATAGAGCTTCGACAATGCTGATGAGAATCGTACAAACGTCGTTCAACGTGATGGTGGGGAATGAGAGGGTTCGGCGCTACTACCATAAGTAAACAGGCTTATTAAAGTACTTAACAAGCGCTTATTCGTATGCACTGCATATATAGCTTGTCTCCCAGCGTTCGTTTGACCTTCATCCTGGGTTTCCTCTACGAGCAACCTGCGGACATACATCTTGCACCCCGATGATTGCTGGTGGTGCATGCTGAGTTGAATGTCGACAACGTATCACCAGATCCCCTCGCTTGCCTACCAGAGGGATATATCACCGCAACCGATCACTGCACTATCGTTTGACCCCGTCTCGGATATCCTCTGGTCTGGCACGAACTCTGGGCATGTCTGTGCAAATTACACACCTCGCGGGCTGAGAGGGGTCCATTATCCCGTAGGAGGTCACCTCGCAGTGAAGAAGATTCTTGCGACCGATTCGAACATCATCGCGTCGGGTCTTGCAAGCGAAGGTATCGGAGCGTGGGGCAAGGGAGGGATCAATAGTTGGTACTTCAAGTAACGTGTTCAAATTTTTGTGTCTGTATGCTTCGCAGCTAGAGCTCAAGCGTTGCGTCAGGGCCGGTGGTCATATAACCACATTCTCTAACAAAGCGTCGAACGCGTCCACGATCGCGGTTTCCACCGCTTCCTCGGAGTTGATCCTATTGAACACTCAGACGGGTTCGGTGTTGCGAAGGTCCCCGTCCTCATCCATCCTTACTCACCTGCACTTCACCGCGTCCCAAACGTACTTTGTTTCTGGGGATGCAGATGGTTGGATCCGACTGCATGATCCCCGAGATGCAACTATTCGCTCTTATGGTTCCAGCCCTGTCAAAGCCCACCTCAGCGGAATCCAGGGCATTGAGACAACCTCTACTCTCTTATATACCATCGGTTTAGGTCTTCGGTGAGTATGTTCCCGGACCGTTTCTTCACACCGCCTCATACTTTCACTCGGCAGGCAGGGGAGGCCTTATCCCGACCATCTGGTGAAAGTCTATGACTTGAGAAACCTCAAGGCGCTCCCACCCATCCCTTTCTCCAGCGGCCCCTCATTCATCACGCGGTTGCCAAACCGCCCCTCAACGCTCGCCATAACCTCTAGCCAGGGTCTTGTCCAGATCGTGGATACAAGCAACCCTACCGCGAACGAGTTCTATCAGTTAGACACGCCATCATATATCACATCCGTTGCGGTTTCCCCCACAGCTGTGTACATGGCGTTCGGGGACTCGGACGGAGCTATACACTTGTTATCCGCTGCGGAGGAGGAAGCGATGGTTCCATTCAATGGCTTCGACGGCAAGGCTATTGATTGGCCCGACAGTCCCGAGCCTCTTCCAGAGATCCAGTGGACTGACAGAACGTACGTACGGCTCGCTTGAGCCTCGCCCTTCTGCTCACGATCATCGCGCAGTCCGCTGAACACGATTGGGTTACCGTACTACGACAACCTCCTTCTCTCGTCCTGGACGAATGACTTCGTGCCTACGAACATGTACTTCCCGCCAGCGCCGAAGATCCCAGCACAGATCCTGAGTTCTATCAAGGTCAACGACTCAATAGCATACGCCTCTTTGCCCAAAGAATTGAGGGGTAGGCGGAACGTCGTCGCAACTGCGCCTCGGAAGACCGGTGGCAGGTTCAGGAGTGGCAAGGCACGCTACAACGACGTATGTTCTATGAATCATTCCGGGTAGTCAAACGCTGACAATGTGGTGCAGTCCGAACCTGTCACTCCCACGTACGAGTATAATCCGGACATCATCCCAAAGGCGTATCGGAAAGTCGAGATCGAGTACTCTAAGTTTGGTGTCGAAGACTTCGACTTCGGCTTCTACAACCGAACGCCGTTCAGCGGACTGGAGACACACATCCTGAACTCGTACACGAACCCCTTGGTGCAAGTAATGCATTATACACTGCCCATTCGGCGATTGGCCAAGTCGCACATTACGACGGATTGCCCTCGCGAGCATTGTCTACTCTGCGAGCTAGGTTTTGTCACGCGAATGCTTGAAGACGCGCGCGGTACGAACTGCCAGTCGAGCAATTTCTGCAAGACTGTTGGCGTTTTGGCTCAAAGTGAGTCCACTCGCTAAGAGTTGATATGTCCACTCGTCTGATGACCAACACAGTGAACAATGCGATCGAGCTCATCGACTACGGCAAGGAGAGCGCAGAGCTGAGCTACGCTCACATGATACAACTGTTCCACCGCTTCCTCATTGACCACCTCAGCTCGGAAGGCAACTCGTTCCCGCACAACCCCAGCCTCCTCCCCAACTCTGGGCCCGCCGACCTCCTTTCACCCGCCCCTGCCCCTATCACGCAACTCCTCGGGATCGACGCTAAGAACATCATCGTCTGCACCTCTTGCCACGCCGTACGGGAAAAGGAAAACATGACACACCTGATTGACATGACATATCCCGTGCGGAAGCCCCCCAACAACGACCCCGCGCAGGAAACAGACTTTGCGTCGATCGTTCGGAACTCGTTGCTGAGGCAGACGATGCACAAGGCGACGTGCCAAATGTGCAAACATTTCGCGACGTTCGAGAGTCGACGGTCGATTAGGACCCGCGACTTGCCCCCGCTGCTGGCGATCAACGCGGCGGTGCACAACGAGGAGACGCACAAGTTCTGGAGGGACCAGAGGAAGCAGACTTTCTTGAGGCCGCGAATCGAGCTGAGGGGCCAAATTGAGGGCATGGACGATCCAGAGACTGTTGTCTACGAGCTGAGAGCTATGGTTGCTCAGGTCGTCGCGAAGGACGCCAACTCGCATTTGGTCGCAATCGTGAAAGGTGTGCTTGATTACCCGTGTTATGCTACATGTCTGACAGTGGTCGACAGTGCCCGAAGCTGAGGAGTCCGATCCTGAACCATGGTTCATCTTTAACGACTTCATGGTGCAAAATATCACCGAGGAAGAGGCGCTGAGCATTCCGTCCAGTTGGAAGGCGAGTTAGGACATGTCCGATCGAGATGGCGACACGAAACTGATGTGCTCGATGGTCTAGGTTCCTACCGTTCTATACCTAGAGCGTGTTGATGTACATCAACGCCTCGATTTCAGCGAACTCCCGGATAAGATGGACCCTTCAATCTTATGTCGGGACACTAACATTGCAATGTGAGGCGCACCCACCGATTCGCTCAGCGCCCCACCTTCGCGGCTTGTACTCACCGTTGTACTATTGTGTCCTCCAGGAACCGCGACCCTCGCCTGATAAGGCATGAGCCTCTGCGATTCGAGGAGCTCCCCACGCCCGGCACTCTCATTGCTATTGACGCGGAGTTCGTTTCCATGCAGCAAGAAGAAACAGAGTATCGCTCAGACGGCACCAAGAAGGTTATCCGTCCCGCGAGGCTATCCCTCGCGCGCGTGTCCGTATTGCGGGGAGACGGGCCGAAAGAGGGCGTGCCCTTCATTGACGATCACATTCATACGAGCGAGATCATCGTGGACTATCTAACAGAATTCTCTGGGATCAAGTGTAAGTCGCCTTGTCGATAGTGGCGGTCTAAGCTGATCTGGGTGGCGTTCACTAATGGCTGGCCCGCAGTTGGTGATCTGGACCCCAGCTTGACTGGGTATACGCTGACGCCGCTCAAGGTGGTGTATAAGAAACTCCGCTTGCTAGTCGACAGTGGATGCATTTTCATTGGGCATGGGCTGTCGAAAGATTTCCGAATTATTAGTGCGTGTCTTGGAGCGGCTTCGCTCCCAACAGCAATTTACATTCCTCGCGTTCCGCAGACATTTTCGTGCCACCTGATCAAGTCATCGACACAGTCGACCTGTACTACTTGGAGCACCGCCAACGACGACTGTCGCTGCGCTTCCTCACCTGGTTTGTTCTAAAGGAAAATATCCAGACGGACACCCACGACTCGATCGAGGATGCACTCTCGGCACTCAAGCTTTACAAGGTTCACCTGCAGCTCGAGGCCGACGGCACATTCGACAAGAAGCTCGAAGAGCTTTACCGTGAGGGCCGTCAATACGTATGTCTCCATTCGATGATTCCCATGATTATCTCGTGCACGGTTTGACCCCTTTTCGTCCTGCGTTTCTAGAACTTCAAGCCGCCCGTGCCCCCAGGAACCCAGCAGACGTCCTCGCCCGCGCCACCGTCTGGACCTGCTACACCTACCCCAATGCCGCACATGGGCATGGGCCGTGGTGCGTTCCTACCTCAGCAACAGTTCGGTGGGTTAGGAGGTGGCCGTTACCCACTCAATGCGGTAGCGACGCCGCCGTTCTTCCCAACCCCTGGGCACACTCGCAACTATAACACAAATCAGAACTGGCGTAACAGGTGATTCCCAGTGGAATGTACGACCCGAGCGAAGAGAAGAACTGTAGCATTTGATTTCTCAGCCTGTCTTGTATCCTGTTTTTACCAGTTGTATTCGTCGCTTTTGGCAATGTTTTCGAGATGCAAGCTCACGGATCAGCACTTGTTGTTTCTCCTTGCGATTGTTTCAATCTTTCGAGGGGGAGGTTGGTGTGCAGGTGTGCAGCAGAGGAAGCAAGGTATGTATTAGTTTATGACCTACGACTACTTTTTGACGACGCCCTCTTCTTCGCGGCCTTGACCTCCTTGTCGAACCGCGTGCGTTTCCTCTGCTTGGGCCCATCATCACCCAAGTCTTCGAATGAGTCGTCACGCGACCTCGCTCTTGACCGCGCGAGCACGCCCTCCTTCTTACCGCGCTGCCGCAGTTCCTCGTATCCATCCCCAACTACGCCCTGCCTGCTCCTCCCGACCGACTTGAGAATGTCCCCAAACTCGTCTTCCAGCCCGACACCCGGGACACGCCTCCGGTTTCCCGACGCCATACCCGTCCCGCCCAACGCGATATCCGCCTCGTCCAAGTCCCTCCGCCTCGCGTCCTTCTTCTTCATGACCAGGCGCGTGAAGTTCTCCTCCTCGAACTCGGTCATGCGCTTCAGCTCGCGCGCGCGCGCAGAGCTCAGCACGGGCGTGGAGCCCAAGCCGGACGTCGACTCGACGTATGGCTTCGACGGGTCGAGGTGCACGAGGTGCGCGAGGGCGGACGGGACGGGCGCGCGTCTGTCCTTGGCCTTGTCCTTAGACTTGCGTGGCTCGATGTAGGGCATGGGCGCAAGCTTGGGCGGGCGGTAAATCCCATCGCGCGAGGTTGCGGGAGCGCCCTCGTCCTCGTCGTCGGGCTCGGAGCCTGCCGCGTCCATGAGGGCTTGGGGGTTCGGGCGAAAAGCGAGGGGGTCTAGGAGGATGGCCGAGTGAGTACCGGATGGGTGGATGGGGAAGGGAGAAGGACGTACCATTGACGATGTTCTTGTCTGCGGAAGCACCCTCCTCTGCAATGCGGACGAGCTTGTCGATCTGGTACTTCATTCGACCCTCTAGCACCTTCACCTTCTCGAGCACCACGCGTGCCTCGATAGCAGCGTCGACGCGGTCTCCAGCACCGTCGCCGCGGGCTGGACGGTCCTTCGCGCTGAATGGGGCTTGTGGGGCAGAGCGTTCCGCGAGCGAATGGCCGATCGCACGGCGGGCGGTGATGAGGCTGAGGGACTGGAGGTAGGAGAGCATCATGTGGTGCTTGAGCGAAAGCAGGGAGATGCCTTCTCGGGTGTCGAGCTCGGACGTCGTGCCTTGCCTGTGTAGCATAGTCCGTACAGTCAGGAAAAGCAGAGACACATCTGTGCATGGACGTACTTTTCTTTCAGAGACTTTACGATGTCCCGGGCGGAGGACATGCTGACCCTCATCTGGTCGAGCATGTCACAGAACGCCTGAACATCGTCGTCGCTAGGCGGCGCTGTAGCGTCTTGTACTTCTGGAGTTGCCATAGTGGTCGACGAGCGTAAATGTATGGATGGAGAGGGATCTGAGGAGAAAGCAGGGAGCAGGGAGAAGGATTTGTTAGCAATTTTTCCGAGTGCGGGGGTGATAATTTCCATTTTGGTCAGTTAACGGTTTTCTAAGCCGCCGCTCGTAATGTTATAGAGCGTATTGCATGTCGCTCATAGTTATCAGAGCCCAGTGCGTTTCATCCTCCTACTCTATCATACAACACGCCCCACTTACCGATGATATACTCAACGATCCCTCACAAGCACAGGAGGTAGGAGAAGAGTGATGGGGGCATGTTTGGAGTGCCTCAAGCCGTAAGTGCTTCTATATCCTCTGGTGTCAGCTGAGGTTCGTTTCACACGAGCACGCGACCCCCCGGCAGCTTGTCGTGTGAGATCTCAGCAGCTTTACGTATAGCTGGTACAGGCAGAGGAAGTCTACTTACTTTATTGTCGATAGGGACGAGAGCTCGGATGACAGTGAGGTGGCCTACATGTAGCGCAGCAGGTGAGTGGTTTGTTCACGAATCGGTGTGTTACGAGAATTCAATCTCCCGTCATAGTCCCATTAGGCTATGCAATATCATACAGGCGCATTTTCGAGCTTCGATTAGCATCGATGCCTCTCCATCGAATCCATCGGGTCATGTGTCCTCTGCTCCTTGAAATCAGCGTTCTCGTCAGCCGGTGCGGGCACGCTCGGCGCACCACGCGGCCTCAGTCCCGTTTTTGACAGCGGTTCGCATATCGACAGGCCCTTGCAAAAAAATCTGTAGCATTTCCAGAATACAAGACGCCACCGTCGAGGGAGTATGATCGCTTTCAGTACCGCAAGTTGAACAATATTGTTCTGATGGCGCCACCAGGCAGGGTCTGTCACGACATCGTCCTATACTGAGGGTATGATCCGCAACACGAAACTCACTTGCACTCTAAACTATGAGTAACATGGTTTTCCTGCATCATACTGGTATGTCCGTACTCTCTTCAAGGCTATGTATCTAGTACCGAGGTCCTTGCAACAAGCAACAATGACTTTCGGACGAGAGATTCTAGTATTTGTGTAGGCCAGTACGGCATTGACCGCTGTGTGCATCTTTGAACTCCATCTCTAAGAGGGACAACATGTTCCCGCTTTTGACCAAGTTGACGCCTGTGGACGTAGATCCGTAGGATCTGGTTGACACGGTCTCGACGTTCGCAATCTAACAACAGCGTGCCATACGGATCCATGGGTGGCAACGAAGCATACGCAAATCTGATCGGTCTAACTGTGCAGAGACACGTTGAACCAACAAGAGATTGACAGGGACTATGCGCAACGTAATAGCGGCGGTTTGATGCTGCAGGAAAGGCGGCATGCTTAGGGGTGTCTTGTTAGATGATCGAGTTCGGGCGATATACTTCCGATACACCCGCCCCTGCCCTGGATGTCAAGGATCTAGCTCGTTTGAACCTTGATCCGATGACAGGATGAGGCTAGCTAGGAGTAAGTAGGAATTGTGTCGGTGCACTGGCACTTGGCGGGCGGCTGCTTTTGGGAGGAGGCGCCCTGACAGGATACGGGAACAGGAGTCGGGAACACCTTTCGCCAGCCATTTATAACGACTGCGAGGATGGCACCGCGAAGCTGACTCACTTTGTAATTGCGGCTTCAAGGCCACTGGCCGCTACGTGCGATCGTATATAACCTGGAATTTTGGCTGTGGGAGGCAATATCGCTCCTCCGAGTCTCATCGATATCGCGCGCCTAGCCACGTCCTCGTCCAATGACGGCGCGCTGGGCTTTCTTGCAATCCAAGATGGCCTTTCCTACCGTCGAGTTCATTGCTGCGCCAGCCACGGAGGCATTCCGCGCTAGCCCGCACAATGTGTCCACCGTCAAGCCTACGGTCGACATTCTGAAGAGTGCCGAGGGCATGATCAGGTCCGTGGCAAAGCCTATACTGAACGCTTCCTCCAGGAGATTGATTAATGCCATCTGACATCATGTATTCCCCTTGGCGTGTCCGCTTTCTTTGTCCGCAGGGTGTATTATGGTCTCGAGGACGAGGACAAGTCCTCTGCATATGTCTGCGTCGGTACATAACTGCATCTCAGCCTACTCGATATCTCAGGGGCTAATGCCGCTCACAAATAGCTTGGGAGACGTTGATACACCACCACAATCTGATGAAGGACACGGAGAAGTACCCGAAGCTGTCAGAAGACATCAATTCCATTCTCGACGTGTCCGGGATTCGAATGTTCCACGTCGCGTTTACCAGCGAGCCATATGGAGCGTTAGAGGCACCCGTCACCGAGGTCGCGACCTTCACCCTGCACGAGGGCCAGTCGAAGGACGCGCTGGAGGGGCTCGTGGACGATCTGGCCACAGCCATGAATGCGGCTCCGAAGTCTGCCGGGGTCATCCTCGCGGCGTGGGGGCCGACGGTGGAGAAAGACGATCTCATAGCTCTCGTTATCGGCTGGACGAGCATCGACGTGGGTGCTCCCGCCTTCAGTTTCATGTGATTTCTTGTCCTCATCATTTCACACTGCAGGCACATTGGGCCTTAGTGGCGACAGACCAGCCAATTAAGGACCTTATCGAGCAGATTAGGGGTATCGCGACCATTACTGTCAAGCATGTAGCTCTTGCACACCACTAAGGTGTTATAGGGATAACGCATCGGCACACAGAAGGCGGAATTTTCGCTGTACAGTATCCCGACAGTCACGAATTTGTATGCATACACGCACCCCTAGCCTGAGATGCCCGGTTTCGGACCCATGCTAGAGGGAGAGCAAGGGAACGGGCCCCAAGCTGACATTCCGCAGCATTCTTACTCAAGCACCGTCTAAATGTCTGTTGTTGGAATCCACTCGCGCCGCCGGCAGTGTATCGAGATGTGTGGCACGGGCCCGTGAGAGCCGCAGTTTATTCTCGGTACGTTCCGCTGCTTGCTCATGCATCTGGTCACCGGCCGCTGATTACCATTCTCCCACCCAACGCTAGTCTTAGGTACACCTATGTAACACTGCTCACGCATGGCAGCATTGGGCTCGGGAGCTGTTCTCGCATTTGTTCAGCCACGGGGGCATTATGACCCTTGGTCGCACACTATGCAGCACGGGCTGACCTGTACCGGTTCATCACCTTCCACGGTCTGCTCCTCTTGAGAACGGGACTCGCCAGTCTCTAGAATAATCCCCAGCGATCCACCTCGAGCTGTCATACTCTGTCATGCCTCGGTGGCTCACTCCGGCAACTTGCAGCTCCTTCCCAAGGATATGGTTCCTTCACCCATGGGCTCGGACACTTCTGACGGGAGTCATGCTGCGCGAAACAGGTCAGTAGAGGCGTGTGATTGACTTTTATGCCCAGGGCACACCGTCGGTACGAAAGACGATTATCACTGCCACGTTGGTTATGCAGCCTCGATGCTGGTAATGGAGCCGGATTCCCACAAGTGGCCCGAGTCCTCGATGTTGGTGGGGTCGTGTAGTACAGTCTATGACATCGACTCCCCGCTCCGGCACGCAATCCTTCGCCCCATTCCACCGACCGACGCATCTACAACTCTACGGTAAGCTCCCCCACCCAGCTCATGATCACGCTCCCGGAGCTCACTGGACAGACTAGGCGGCAACGCGAACCAAAGTCAACATGCGCGTAGGGGCGTTGGCTCTTGTCTTTGCGATCCTTAGTGTTGTGCCTGGCATGCTTGCGAAGCATGGAGAAGGTGGAGATGACGACGACGGGGCCGCACCAGCCACGTCGACGCCCCCTGCATCGTCGACACCCCCTGCAACCTCTGCAACGTCCGCCCCTCCTGCAACTTCCTCCCCTATTGCAACGTCCACCCCTCCTGCGACATCCACAGCCGCAGCCGCAACATCTTCTACCACTCTGTCACCTACCCCAACCCCCTTTCAGTTTCTCCCTCCATCCAACGCCACGACTTGCCAGAACGTCATGCTCAAATGGCAGTCCAACATATCCACGCCAATCACGCTGTCGGTTACCAACGGCCGCGTGATCAATCCGCCTGCCTCGTCCAGCGAAAACTCAGTCCTCGTCTCGCGCACCCTGTCGACCAACGTCTCCGCGTCAGCCGGGCAGTTCGTGTGGGCTTCCGTGGACGTCCCGCCAGGGCCGTACGTCGCAGTGGCGTTCGATACCTCTCAAAACACTGGTATATTCGCACAATCCCTGCCCTTCTTCGTACAGATGGGACAGGATTCTAGTTGCTTGGCCTCTGCGTCCGCGACCTCGGCTCCTCCTCCCCCCGGCTCTCCAACATCGACCTCAGACTCTGAAGCGTCCTCAGGAAGCTCCGACTCGAGTGCAGGGTCCCAGCCGAAGAAACTGGGCGCTGGTGTGCTCGCGGGCGTTGTGGTCGCGGTGGTAGTGGGGGTGCTGCTGCTGATCCTCGCGGCCACGTTCCCACACTACTGGAAGGACGCGTTCATCCGCCGACGCCAGAATCAGCACCCTGGAGGACCATACCACCTCTTCTAGATGATTTCGGCCTTTCGGACATGTTATTGCATCGCGAGTACCACGTTCGTCCTGTTACGTTCTTACGGCTCTTGCTGCGACTGTTGGCACTGTTTTCCTCATGCTATCTGTTCAGCGGTACTAGACTCATTTTCGTAGGCTTTTTCATATGAGATCGATGCATGGACGACTTCGATGAGCGTGTTTGATTATACTGTATCATACAACTATTTAGGTGTACAGCTACAGAAATACATTGTCTCTAGCAGTTGATCTAGTTAATATCCGTGACATGTCAATGTGCGAATAGGAAGTGAGTGTAAATGTGATCGAGAAGCGACGATGATGGGAATGACAACGACGACAATGAGGAAGTCCAGGAACAGACAGCGTTGCGTACAAGACGAATAAGATAAGGGACACACACGAAGCAGCCCGGCTGCGCCGAATCGCGCAAGCGCGAGGGAAACGAGACATTGTACCAGCGTCTCCGCAAAGGAGGGATACGAACGCGAGCTGACAGGTGCGCGCGATCGTGGACGAGGCTAGGGCTCCTACTTCCTGCCGATCGAGCCCATGAAGCTTTTGAGGTCCAGCTCTTGGTACTCTTCTTCGGGCGGCAGGTCCTCGAGCCCGCGCAGGACGTTCCTCTGGCCAGGTGGCGCACCGCTCGCGTCCTTGTCTTTCTTCTTTGCGGCCGCGGCGTCCTCTTCTTCTGTCGTTCGCTTGAAGAGGTCGAGGACGAGATCGGTGTCCATCGACGCCAATCCTGAGTTTTGCTGCGTAACGATAGAGTTGGCGATGTTGAGCTTGAAGCGCTGCAGACTGCATCGCGGCGATGTCAGCAGCGGCCCCAATGCCGACACAGATAACGCGAACATACCCCATGATCTTCTCTTCCAGAGTGCCCTTCGTGATCAGGCGATACACATTAACCACCTTCTTCTGCCCAATCCGATGTGCACGATCCATGGCCTGCAAGTCCTTCATTGGGTTCCAGTCGTGCTCGACGAAGATGACAGTGTCAGCGCCAGTGAGGGTGAGACCCAGGCCACCAACGTGCGTCGTTAGCAGGAGACAATCGATACTGGGATCCGAGTTGAAGGTCTGAACTACCGCGTGACGCTTTTTGGCGTCGGTGGAGCCGTCGAGACGCATGTAGGTGACAGAGGGCATATGCTGTTTGAACAAGTCTGTCTCGATGATGTCGAGCATCTGCTTCATCTGGCAGAAGATGAGCACACGATGCTGCGAGAATGCTCCTGTCGCTGTCTCTTCTGTGTCCAGGAGCTCGGACTTCGTCGTGTCGCCTGTAGCACTGGGCGCGAGACCAATGCCGCAATCGAGAAGAAGTTGCCTGTGGGAGAACACCATCAACACGAATATGAAGTGACACCGAGGGAGCGCACGAACCGAAGAGCTTGCAACTTGGGAGCATGCTGAATATCGCTGAGATCGCCAGATGAGGCATTGATGGCGGACTTTGTGAGAGCGTCCTTGATTGCCTCCTTGTCGTTCTTGAAGACGAGGGCGGGATGATTGCAGAGCTTCCGGAGATACTGTAGTGACTGAAAGACGTGTGTCTGCTCGCCGTCCTTCTCCTTGTTTGATCGAACGACATCCTCTGCCTGTATCTTGGCTCGCGACTTGGAGAAGTCGTCGTACAAGAACTTCTGTAGTTCTGAGAGTTCGCAGTAGTAGTCCTGGATGATCTTGGGCGGCAGGTCGTTGAGCACGTCCTCCTTGAGTCGCCGGAGAAGGAACGGTAAGACTTGCTTGTGCAGAGCTTCGAGTGCCAGGGCAGCTGAGACCACATGAGCATTCACATCCATCAAAGACACAAGGGTCATGGGAGCTTACCAGCCTCGCCCGTCTTGGCTTTGCCATCGCGATTCGACAATATCGGTTTGGAGAAGCGCTCGTTGAAAGATCCCTCGGTGCCAAGGAAACCGGGCATCAGGAAGTCAAAAAGACTCCACAATTCGAGGACGTTGTTCTGAATGGGAGTGCCGGACAAGATGAGTCGGTGGACAGCCTTAACCTGCTTGACGGCTTTCGTCAACTTCGTCTTGGCATTCTTGATGATGTGGCCCTCATCAAGGATGCAGTAGTGCCAATTGATGTCCTGGAGGCTGCTGATGTCGTTTCGAACGACTTCGTAAGACGTAACGACGACGTCATACGTCTTCAGCTTGCCTAGAAGCTTGTACCGTTCTCGCGAGTTACCGGTGTAGAGCACGGGCTTGAGGTTCTCTGTGTACTTGAGGATCTCGTAGTACCAGTGCCCAGTAAGCGTCGGCGGACAGACAATGAGTGAGGGGAGATGTTTTGAGTCAGGCGACTTGGTCTCCTTATACTTCTGCGCGCGCTCGTGGTGCTTGCTCGCCAATATGCATATCGACTGGAGCGTCTTTCCGAGACCCATGTCTGTCATGGACAGGGTCAATGCAACTTCATGAGGAAGTGGAGAACCATACCATCACAGAGAATGCCATGGAGCTGGTACTTTGCGAGAAACGCGAGCCAGTTGACGCCCTCCTGCTGGTACTTGCGCAGCTCGGCCTTGATTGTGACAGGGATGTTGTACTGCTCCACCTTGCTGCCGTCGAGAAGTTGCATCAGGAACTGACGCTCCTCCTCCCGACGCTTGAGCAAGTCCTCCGGGAAATTTGGCGGATCCGGCAATCCCGCTTCGAGCGGAACCATCTTCACCAGCGATGCGAACGTATTTGTGGCAGTCGCACGCACATCATCATCCGGGTCGCTCATACGTCCGAGCACAGGCACGACCATGAAGATGACGTAGGGAAGCGCCTTGATATCGAGCTTTTGGACGATGTCTAACGTGCATGCGACATAAGACATGAGATCAACTTGACATAGAGGGTAACTTACGATATATTAACTCGACAGCACCCTGACGGTTCGCCAATGTAGAGGCGTCGCCGAGGAACGGTACAACCTTCTCGATGACGTAGCGCATCGCGTCCAAAGTCAGCACGTCGCAGATGGTTGCGAAGCACCGAGCCGCGGACTGCCGAACGATAGCGAAACGGCTGCGAAGGGCGAGGGTGACATGCGGAAACAGCTGGACGAAGTGATACGATAGATCTTCGTGGAAGGTGGGCACAACAGCCTCCAGGACACTTAGTGAATCGATGACGTCCTGGCCTTCTCGCTTCTCGATCTTTTCGTCCATTGCGCTGACAGAGTCTACGGATTTGTGAGCGGGGCTATACATATAGCGCGGACTAAACAAAACAGACCTCCAGAGCATGCGCTCATCAAACCCCCAGCAATCGCAGGCCACATTCTCGGAATGGCATCCAAAAGCTTCGGTCCGAACTTCGCGGAGAGTTTCTCGAAGGCAAGTCGTGCTCCGCGACGAGACAGCTTAGCTTTCGCAGGATCTTCCGTGGGATTCGCGTGATCCCTGCCGTTCTGCGGTGCCGAGGCCTGCTTGTTGAACGACAGAACGCCATGAAGCGTCTTCCTGTTGTGCAGGAATGTGGGCGTCTGGTCGACGTCCTGGCACAGGAAGGTACACAGGTTCTTGACAATCTTTTCCGGAGGCTGAGTGAGAACGCGATTGACGCAAAATTCGACGAAGGCCGCAACTGCCGCTGCAGAATGGGTTTGTAGGTCCAAATTCTCCTCGTTCTGAATACACGATCGTTACACAAATGCATATGCATAGATATTCAAATAACGCACCTTGACGCTGTTCATGATGCCCTTGACAATCGGGCTGACCTTGTCTGGAGTGCTCTTGAACGCCACGAACGCAGCAGCGAAGGCCGCCGCAACTCTGACATCATACTGCGCCTTGACTTCGATGTACCGTTCGATGCTCGATACTACCTTGAGCCGCTTGTCCTTGATGATCGCCAATTCGCGCTTCTTCGTCCGGCCCAAGCTGTCTTTGAGCTTATCGAACATCGGCCCCACGGCTGCTTGGGCTGTCTCGATCGTGAAACATTCGGGCTTTGTACCCGTGACGTCGATCTCTGTGCCAAGCGACGGAATGGCAGAGGCGGGAAGCTTGCAATCGAACATGAAGGACTGCAGGAGGTTGTGGCACTCGCCGTGGATGCGCGCAAGCGTGAACGCCATCTCGTGATACGCTGCTGGAGGATCCGCCTGGAGGAATGCGAGGGTCTTCTGGCTGAGCTCGGCGGCAAGCGGAGAAACCTCGATGAGGAGAGCGCTATCTGGGGGAGCGCGGATGTCGTACTCGCGCGCCCAGCATTCGGCGATGATGGCGGCAAGGAACTTCTGGAGCATGCTCGTAGAGTCGATGTAATGTGTCAGGATGGGACGGAACGTGTCGTCAACGGATAGCGATCCAGGTGCTGGCTATGAAGACATAGTCAACAAGGATGGAACGTAGCTTTAGCAGCACGGCTAGGACGTACCGAAGACGGCCAGAAAGCGATGATGTGCGCTAGCGCCGCCGACGCGGCCAATCTTGCCTGCATGACTACCTCGACAGGCACAAGGGACAAGTCTTGTGCAAGCATATTCTTGTCGACATTATGCCTCTCGGTCGGGGCGCTGTTGTCGCTGAGGTTAGGGTCATAGAAGGATGTCGCGTCCAATGCGAGACCGAGCGGCGTCATAAGTACCCCGTACCACTCCAAGAGAAGCGGCTGCGCAATCGACGACTCGAGCCAGCCACTGGTCTGGCTTAAGATGGATAGAACCTCACGCCAGGTGGTCAGCGTCGCGTCCCGAATGTCAGAGCGCTCTTCCACGACGAGATTCTGAAAGAGTAGACGGAGGAAGGGTACAGAGATCCACCCTCGGGGTAGTGACTCTACCGTCATGAACGTGTGGAGAGTCTTGACGACGGCTAGCCGCACGTTGGCGATCGTATGCCTGAAGAAGGGGAAGAGGGTGGGTGCAAGGACCGTGATAGGATGTCTAGGACGTTGCGAGGATGAGTGAATGCACCTCATACTCTGGAATGCAGCAACGTACGATCGCGATTCGTCGGCGATGATTTCGATCACCCGGTTCTTCGTCACTAGTTGACCCAATAAGTCCATGACTGCCCCGACACTCGAACTGAGGTCGTCCTTCATGTCGCTCAGACAGCTCCAGAGGACAGCAAGCACTCGACTTAGCTCTTCAGGCAAGCGCTCCACCAGGTACGCAGCCACCGGAAGCAAGCAGGAAGCTGCCACCGACCGCACGTCATCGTCGCGATCACCAAGGCTAGGAAAAAGCGTGAGCGACATCCTCGCGTGGCGGATCAAGGTGTGCTCACCCTAGTACCGCAGCATCTACGACGCCCCTTAACACCTCCTTCCCATCATCAACCTCCATGCAGTCACCCTCGGGAACGTCCAAGCTTACGAGATCGCTCCTCACAGCGACCTCGTACTTGATGCCCAGTAGACCCGCATGTCGCACCTCCCACACGTGGCTCTTGTCGTTGTGCTTGTTGAATGACTTGCCGTTCGTCGGCTTGACAGGGATTGGAAAGTCTTGCCGGATCATCTGTAGAAGAACGTTGTGCACATGGAGAACTGATCTTCGAGGCATGTGCAGCAGAAGGGACGCGAGCGTCTGTGAAACCGTCTCGCGCACGGGAGCGACGACCTGATCTGAGACGAAGTCTCCGAATCGATCGAGGACGAATATGCATAGAAACTTGATAGCGAGGTCGTTACACCACCTCTCGTGGGCGATCAGGTTCTCGTCCCAAGACAGGTCCACTGCAGATGCGACGTCAGTACCGGCAAGGCAATGCCTCTGAGCATCGAGCGGCTCACCTTTCGTTCCTCCATACTTTCCCTGAAGCTTCAATACTTCTCGAAGGGCCATGGCGGCACCATGTCGTACTTCCCAAGCAGCGCTGAACAGGTCCACCTCAAGTAGCTTAACGAGGCCATCCCAGACCCATGTCCCAGGCTGTACCTCAAGCGCCTTCGACTTGCTCTCTGTCTTCGGGGCGACGGCACCGCCCTTCGTCGGATCGATGACGACACGGTCTTGCGATGGACCTTCTACTGGAGACTTTGGGCTGTCCAAACGCTGCTTCGACGAGGGCTGTTCGTCACGAGCCACAAGGCGCGCCTTGCTTCCGCCAGCGGCCATCGCCTGGTACTTTGCACCGGAAGCCTGCGTAGGCGGAAGCGCGCCGACGACGGCAGCATTGCCCGGCTTCCGCTTCCGCTTCAGTCGGTTTCGCTCTCGAGCAGAGAGCGCGGAGGTGTCTTCCGCGGCGGATGTTACCGGCGCGGGAGAAGCGGCGAGCTGGGGCGTCGAAGAATTTGACCGTCCGAATACCGGGACCGAGTCCTCCTTCTTCACCTTAACGTCCACGTAGTCATCGGTTGGCGAACTGGGTGCGGCGTCCTCCTCCGTGTTCACCAGTACAGGGGCGGCCATGTCGACGTCCGTATCGGGCTCATCCGCGGCGAGCTCCTTGTCGAGGTCCATGTCGTCCGCGCCGCCCACGCTTTCGAGGAAGTCGAGGCCAAGGCGGCCCATGGCCTCCTTGCGCGCCTTCTTGACTTCGTTCGAGTTGGCGAGGATGCCGGTCGGCTTCTGAAACTCCTTGCCCGAGGACGCAAGGAGGAGGGTGCCCTTCTCCATGAGCTCGCGAACAGAGAAGGAAGGGAATTCTGGAGGGGGCAGTACGGCGGACGCGCCGTACGGCTTCGTGTCCGCATCTGGGCAGGGCTTCCAGAGAGGGACGAGAGAGAAGATCTGCGAAAGGGCAGTGGACGCTGCCGATCGCGTCTCATGAGATCTTGAATGCAGGTATGGCAGTATCTAGACTGGATGAGCGGATGCGGGCGGTGAATGGGGAAGCGGACTTACTCTCGCAACTACGGCCATAAGCTCGGACCAGCCAGAAGAGTCGCTGATCAACACATGGTTTCGTGTGGTCTTCACATCGTCTTCGACGAGTGCGACATCGCTGATCACACTCTTGGCGGCAAGTTGTGCTAGTTGTTTGGCTGCGGTGATTCTGACGGACGCTGACGACCCCGTGTCAAGTAGTAACAGGAGTCGGTCCAATCTATACGTTTGTTTTGCGATATATGTTCAGGACGAGCGAACACAGCGGTGTCCAAAAGTGGACAGAACTGACCTGGACGTCATTACGTAGCCAGCCGGACCGCTACTCCGCGCTTAGAGATCACAGGTAGGATAACGGGGAAGTTCTCACGCTCGTCCGCCACGACGACTGTTCCTTTTATCATCTTGCCTTCGTGACGGAAATTTGACAATGTCACGCGTGACGTGTCATCTGTGCCCTCCTGGCGCTTCCTCATAATATCCTAGACAAAAACCCCGCTCCTCCTAGTAACCTCTTGCCTATGCAGCATCGTCGCCGTGCATTGCGGCACCCCTAAAGCTCCACGTAGCGTCCTACGGAGCAGGATGGCCTCTGCTTAGGGAGAACGAACAGTGCGTATCCGAGCTGGCGTGTCACGGTGTAACACGTCAGATCCCATCGAGCGTGATTTGGAGATCATCGCCAAGTTGGGACCTCGCCACATCATTCGTCCCAGAAGTCCGGCGACATACAGATCTGTCGTCATAAACACCACAGCATCTCCCTGGACCTCTGAGTATCTCTCTGACCACAGGTAAGCCTCTCGCTTGACAGGGTGATTCAACACCAAGGAACATCAACAGGGATTGTGCAACCGCCGGCCCAAGAACAGCGGAGGCGACGGCTGGGTCACACGGGAAGCTTCGTTTAATGAACTAGCTTCTTCCGCGCCTGAACGCTCCTTGAAGCTGATCCGTGCGCGTGAGCAATTCAGGTGTGTCATAGCTCATCCTGTGGAGGCAAGATGCCCAACCGGACGCCCTTTCAATCTACGGCTATACTGACAAGCTGTCGTCTTCCACTCCCGGGCCAGATGCCTACAGGTCTTCATGAGGCATTACGAACACTCGCAGAGGAGCTGCACGACGCAGCGCAAGCGAACACGCAAGGTACAACTCATACACATATGCCTTCCTGTCTTTGTGGAGAATCATGTCGAATCAATAGCCAGTTGACAGGCTAAACGTTGGTGTGTTATGAAGAAAAGCCACAATGTGCTGAGGCTTCTTTGTCCTTTACGAGTAGCTGCAGTCTCGCCTCGGTACCCAAGCTAACGCACTTTTGTCCAGATCTACTGCGTTGCGATAGAGGCGGTGCTGAAGGTCTTATGCGAATTGCCCTGGTCCTCCAGCATGGGCGTCCCACCGAAGGAACGGAAGATCTTCGCATATTCCTCTCAGACCTCCTGAAGCGTGGGCACAAAGAGATGGCGGCTACCGAAGGCTTGCACTCATGGGGATGGAGAAGGATGTACACCGACGCTTGCATGCTTCTTGCTTACGCCGACGTCCTCGACTTCTCTGCTACCGGGGACAACGCGCTCGCGCTGTCCGCCGTGTCACACCTCGACCACTCTATCGTCATCGCTGGCGCACCAGGGGAGGGAAGGTGGAACGCCATCCTCGACATCATAGACGGCATCCAGGCAGAATGCCTTGACTTCTCGTCAAGTCAGCGGAAGGACGTCTCGTTCGTGGCCGCAGCGCACCCCTCTTCCGAGTCTAACTTTGTTGCCGCGCCTCTGCTAAGTGCCGAGAAGCCGGTGCTGCGTCTCGACACCCCGCCTTCCCTGGGTACGTTTGTATCCCGCTTGTCACGTCAGCCCTTCGTGCTGCCGGGGTTCCTGCTCGATTGGCCGGCACTCAACGAGCATCCCTGGAGGTCGCTGGACTACCTGCGCGCTGTTGCCGGGCCGGGCCGGGTCGTTCCTGTAGAAGTTGGGAGCGACTATAGGAGCGACGATTGGACGCAGAAGATGATGCCATGGGACGAGTTCCTCGCCAACCTTGAGGAGGACGAGGGAGACCGGCCGGCAGGGACGCCACCCCGTCCTGTGTTGTACCTGGCACAGCACAGCCTGTTCAGTCAATTCCCTGCGCTCACGGAGGACATTCTCGTTCCTGACTACGTGTACTGTGATCTTGGTCCGCCGGAGGACTATCCCCGGTACGTACCTCCGGCCAACGATGAGCGCCTTGTGCTCAATGCGTGGCTGGGACCTGCTGGGACCGTGTCACCAGCGCATACGGTGAGTGGCAGCTGTCTTGCCCATACCCTGTCCATGGTTTGCTGGAACTACTCATAGGACCCTTTCTTCAATTTCTACGGTGCGTTTCGATGTGAGTCTCACCGGCCGTATCATTGAAAGCCCCTCAGGGCAAGTTGTCGGGCGCAAAACGATATGGCTAGCGTCTCCCGGAGTATCGACGTACATGTATTCTTATCCAATTGGGGCAGATATCGCTGGCGATGTATCAAATAGCTCTCAACAGCCGCGAAACCCAGCAGCGAACAACGAGAGCCCGTCGCTGAGCAACACCTCTCGAGTCGATGTCTTGGTGTCATCTCCTGAAGACCACTCCCGCAGTAAGTCGGAATACCCTGCATTTTGGGAGAAGGCGGTGCCCGATGCGCTGTCGGTAACGTTGGAGCCCGGGGACTTGTTATTCTTTCCGCCGGGATGGTGGCATGCCATGCGCAGCGAGGAGAGAAGCTTCTCGGTTTCTATGTGGTTCTAAACCGCATCTATGTGCTTTTCTGTACTACTTAGTGATTTGATAGATATTAGCCATGAGACCTATGTACTCATACCTCAGTGTAATAGGGGAGGTCGTTTTCTGCGTATGTCATAGGCAAATCACAATGTGTCGGCATGTTTGGGCGCCTGATCCAACATTGGATCCGTCTGCGGGCGTCTGTTGTCGCTGCACCTTGCACTCAGCCAACATGTCGAGCAGAGCAGGCGGCCTCTATGGCGGCATCCAGTTCTCATCCTCGAAACCCTTCTTGTCGTCACAGGGTCCTAACCCATCGAATCCAGCCCACCCTGCAGAAAGATCGCCCTCAGCCCCAGCTACGGACCCTACTACTACCGCAGCGCAAAATGCACCCGCCTCCTCGGCCACGACCAGTAGCAGCAGTGTAGGAGGCCCGAGCGAGTCGGGCGCCGCAGCCTCTAAGGCCACAGCCGGTATTCCTCCCTTTGCTACAGCATTGGCGTTGTAGAGCTCGTTATTTACGAAATCATCCGTTCATGCCCCCTTCGCCTCCCATGCCATTGCCTTCCATACTTGCGTGCAGGATGGTCTGCGGCACTCGCATTCGCGCCGACGCGTCGCCAGGCTGCTAAGGCCAAAGCCCCTGCTCCAAGGCTGCCTGTGGGAGCGGCGGTCGCGTTTTCACAGGTGGACACCGCGACGGCGACGATATCCAGCACTGCCGTGGTGTTTGCCCCGCCTTCTCTTGTAGAGGCGAGGCCCGCCAAGGTTGAAGAGACTTCGTCAAACCATTCGCAGGCTCAAGGCCAGGGATGGGGTCGGAAGGTCAAGCCTCCGTCCATGGTTCTGGATGAGGATGTGAATGGCTTCAAGTCGCGGAAGGCCGGAAAGCGGGAAGGTGGTGGTGGTGGAAAAAAGAAAGGCAAAAAGGTGCGTCAGTAATCCTGTTAGCTATTGCACCATGTCCTCAATCCAACTTGCAGAACAAAAACGCGCAAGTCATAGCTGTGTGGAACCCAGACGAAGCCTACGACCCAATGCGACCGAACGACTATAACGAGTTCAAGCTCTGGCAGCGCCGTGAACGTGAGGAACGCCGAGAACGTCTCCTTGAAGAACGCCGTCGTGGCGAAGATCGCAAGCGCTACAGGCGAAGCAGCAGTTACTCTGACAGCTATCGTAGTGCGTCCGAGGATGAGCGCCCACGCAAGACAGGTGAGTTTCCCTGTAAATCAACGCTTCCTAGCAGTTCTAACGTGAGCCGTACAGGCCGGTATGAGGAACGCGACCTTATGGACGAGGACTACGACCGCCCCCGGGGCGGTATTGGGGCGCCGTCCCATCCTCCACCTTCGGTTGCGCCGGTGAATATCAGCATGTCCGGAGACGAGGCTTACCAGCGTCGGCTTGCTCTATCTCAAGGTTTCCAGCCTCCGGAGCCACCAGCACCGAGCTTCGCTCCCCCCACTTCGACGTCCTCGTTCACGACCTTCTCCGGCCTCGAGCCCTTTTCGGCCACACCCTCATCTTCCTTCGACCATTCTAGGCGCGGCGACGAAGGCATCCCAGGGCTCAGCGAACCATCTTCCCCATCGCCTCCGCCGGCGGTGCCAATCTCAGCGCAGAGCGGAGAAGAAGCGTACCTGCGTCGCCTGGCGTTGTCTCAGCAGAGCGCTCAGGCGCCGCGTGCACCTAGTCCGTTGCCGTTCGACGACGAGCCGCCCTCTCGGACATCGTCTGTGCCTCCCCCGGCCATTCTGCCGCCGCCTGTCAGTGCCCCGCCCGCGGCCCCGATCACTGTGGACAAGATCCAGAGCAGCAAGCAGGCGGCGGCAGCGATCGCGGCACGGCTCAGCGCGCTCGCTCCGAAGGGCACTGGACCGTCCTTGGCCCCTCCGCCCACCGTCGCGGAACCAAGTGCAGGTGCGGCTTCTGAGGAGGCTGCAGAACCCCCGAAGAGGTAAGTGTTCCACTGTAGTGGAAGAAGAGTTTAGATGTGCTGAAGGCTATGTCTCGCAGACCCGACCCACACGGTTTCGCGGCTCGCCTCATGGCTAAGTGGGGCCACAAAGATGGCCAAGGGCTCGGCGTCGACGGTAGCGGGATTGTGCACGCGCTCACAGTCGAGCAGGTCGCCCAGAACAAGAGCGGCAAAGGCAAGGCGAAGGGCGGCAAAGGTTCGACAGCGATCGGGGGCATTCCGTCAAAGATGGGCAAGATCGTGAACATGAACGAGGACGCGAAGACGCGGGAGGATAGGGAACGATTCGGGGAGCCGAGCAGAGTGGTCGTGCTGACGAATATGGTCGGATTGGAAGATGTTGAGGACGAGGATCTGCGAGAGGAGATAGGTGCGGCCTCGTATTCCGAGCGGGTCTCTGACGTGTTGGCTGATCCTTGGGGCAGGCGAGGAGTGCTCGAAGAACGGGACTGTGGAACGCGTCGTCGTCCACGCCGTATATCCTCAGCCCGAGCATGCTGATGACGCAGTACGCATCTTCGTGCTTTTCGCGGGACCCGTGGGCGCTTGGAAGACGGTGCGGGAGCTGGACGGGCGGTACTTTGGTGGGCGCAGCGTGCGGGCGCGGTACTTCCCCGAGGCGCAATTCAATGCTGCTGAGCTGGATGTGCCGTTGTAGCTGCCTTTCGCTGCTAGTCTCGTCGCTTGTCGGATTCTATGGGGCATATAGTGTCTGCACTTAGCTGTCGTTGTATTATCACTCTGTCATAGAAAACCGTTCAACCTCGCCGTATCTGACAGATAAACGTGCACGGTACGGTGTCTTTCGAATATGCATCAGCAACGCTGGAGGTACATGCCTAACTGACCAGCTGATCGTCCGAGCGCCCCTCGTCATGTGTTCCTCTGTTGACTATGTGAGTCGCTCACCTAACTCTGATGTTGCTCCCTGCGCTGACTGAACGGGTTAGGACCATTCGAAGGAGCCGATCAGGCTTGGAACCGAACACATCAGTCAACCTTGGGACATACTTGCTTCTGGACCACCACTCGACGTCCATTCTGGTGAACATAGCGACCTTACTCAAGCAGTCCGCTGTACTCATACGGTCAAATTTTCTTTGTGATCAGGTTGTGCTTCGCTCGCTCGGCATAAGTGAGTAGCAAGCTGACAGGAGGCTGTCCTCAGGCCCTATGACCAGGTATAGCCATTCTCATCCTTTTGTTCATGTTCACCAAGAATTGCAAGAGGACAGATCAGGAGGGGAACCAAAGACTGTCCCATTGACTCCTACCTCTCGTGGACGGAACCATAGCATCTGCTTCCCACGTCGCCGTCGTCACCGGAGCTGCTCAAGACATTGGAGACGCTATTGCCTGACGCCTAGCGGATGATGGCTTCGACGTTGCCATTGCTGGTAGCACGCGTAAGCCCGAAAGGCTAAACGATTTCGGCAAGGCCTTCGAAGCGAAAAGGAGATGAGCATCATCATCGCAGGAGACTTGAGCGTCGAAGTCAAGGTTAATGCTCTTGTCGAGAGAACTGTACACGAGCTCGGTGGTGTTGATGTGGTTGGTACTTATTGGAAGCATGCTCTCAGCATACTGACTGGCGCTTGCAGATGATTGCAAATGCAGCTATATTTCGATAAATACCTTTGACAGACCTGGCCGTGTAAGACTAGAAGGAGAACATGACAGCGAATGCACGAAGCGTAGTGTCGTCCTTCAAGCATGCTGCAAGGCAGATTCAGCAGAGCCGCGGAGGGCGTACCATAGGTAAGTTTCATCATGCGTCCAGATATGTGGCCCTGTAACTTACATTTCGGAACTATATAGGAATCGGTTCGGTCTCATCCAAGCAAGGTCGATTCTTCACAAGATGTCTCACTTGCAAGTCAGGAGATGTCAATGTTCCTGCATATGCTGCTTCGAAATCCGCAATTTGCGGACCGACCCAGTGTGCAGGTACGTCACTACCCTGAATACTCCGAGGTGATGTAGCGCGCTGAACGACAGCCGTGTGACTAACGCTCGAACAGTGGGAGAACAACATCGCAGTCAACACTGTAGCCCCCGGCTTATCGCAGCCCCAATGAGCAAGTCGTCAACCCGACTTTATTCACAACACTCCAGGTTGCACAACATGAACCACATGTAGCCCTTCACCCCGATGACGAACTTAACGGAGGTGTTGACTCTACTATCTTGAGGGTAAGGAAAGGAGGTGATGATACCTCAAATCCCATCCAGCGAACAATTCCCTGTAGATCTCGTCCTGACTGAAGATATACCCCGCTACCTCACAGATGGCAAATGGGTGCACCGACGAGCCGGTCGGAGAAGCATCTGAGGTGGCAGCACTTGTGTCGTACGTGGTCAAGCCGAAAGCCCGCTTTCTCACGGGTGAGTCTGTCACCTGTTCCCAGCCTGCCTATTACTTCTCCGATATCAATGCATCGTCATCAATGAGGGCACACAGTTGGACTCACAGACGAAAGGAATCTGTGACATTAGGAGCACCCGCAGCGTGACCGAACCATGCAACTGTCTGCCTGACGTGCTTTGTATGCATGATGAGTGAAAGTAGAGACCCTCGCTCTCTTCAGATCGTTCACCGCAGCCAATACCGTTATCATAAGTTAGAAGCAAGAAGGCGAATGACTTTTGACATCAGCGATAAGTAACTTTCCCACTCGTGCGCATATATAAGACTGCGGAACAACTCCACTCACAACCTTGCTTCTGAACTCCCACGCCCCTCATGGACGGAATCACCGCACCTAGCCCTCGCGTTGCAATAGTCACTGGCGCGGCCCAAGGCCTTGGGGAAGCCATCGCGTTGCGACTTGCCGATGACGGTTTCGACGTCGCCGTCGCTGGCAGTACCCGCAATCCCGAGAGACTCGATGCCGTTGTCGCATCCATAATGGCGAAAGGAAGGAGGGCGATCGCTATCACCGGAGACGTTAGCCGTGAGGCCGACATTGTCTCCTTGGTGGAGAAGACCGTTAGCGAGCTTGGTGGGGTCGACGTAGTGAGTATTGCTAGGGCATTGCGCACCGGTATATGCCGTTGTACTGACTGTGTATGCAGATGGTCGCGAACGCAGCTATATTCCGGCAGACTTCTCTCGTAGATTTGACCGTAGAAGAATGGGACGAGCATCTCGGAGTAAACGCACGAAGTGTCATGTTGTGTTTCAAGCACGCTGCGAGACAAATGATCAGGCAGGGCCGCGGCGGTCGCATCATAGGTACGACGGCGTAACACTTTGAAGCACTTGACTGTCCTTGATTCATTCGTCCAATTCAGCGATCGGTTCGACCTCTTCCAAGAAAGGTTGGCTCGTGGCTAGAAGCACAAGTCAGGAAAACTAACTGCCCATGAAATCGCGTACTAGGGCACATTAGTGTTTCTGCCTACGCTGCATCGAAATTTGCGATTCGGGGACTGGCTCAGTGCGCAGGTATGGTGACGCATTGATCACCCCAGTATGAATGCCCTGCCCACTGTCGTGATTTGTCTAATCAGCACTCGAACTGCGGAAGTATAACATCACCGTCAATACTGTCGCGCCCGGTTCCATTGCAACCAAGATGAGTGGGTGACACTTGAACTCTACCACGGTAGCTTCTGTCTTAAGGCCTACTGTTGCAGCGGTTCATCCTGATGATGAAGTGAACGGAGGTCCCTGCTCTACGATGCACAAGGTAGCCAGTGAGGCAGCGGCACTCACATCTACAATCCCTGTAATTCAACCGTGTCACTGATCTTGTTGGGCTTGAACCAGAACGCCCACGTTCCCCTCGATACCCCTGTGGGACATCCTTCCGATGTCGCTGCACTCGTGTCGTACGTGGCTGGTCCGGAATCCGGCTTCCTCACAGGTGGGCTGTCTGTCGCTTCTTGAGGTGGTCACTGTTGTTACAACCTCATCTTAGGTCAATGTATTGGAATCAACGGAGGTTATCACTTGGACTGACGGCCCTCTCCGGGAGAGTCGTTCCACACGAAACTCCATATTTGCGCTTGTTGGTCCCTCTGTGCTCAACCCAAACAGGAGCTCACGTCGAATACTCATTCCATATCGAATAATAATACTTCTGCCACACCCTGCCCAATGTTTTCCACCGTTATGTCCTCCCCTGGAGTAGCTACAACGTACGCCCCATCCCCTTCCCTCAACTCAATCGGACCACGCTCTGCGCCGAGAACACGCACATGAGCGCCGCTTGCCGCACCGGTATTGTACGCCGATCTTTGCGATAGCTGCAAGTATCCCTTTCTCTCCTTCCCCTCCGTGCCTTTCAAGAAGGCGTGAGTAACATGCTGCCCTTCCGAGATCATCGTTGCGAAGAGCGTTAGCGGCGAATGGATAGGAGCAGGACCCTTCGCACTGAACTCCTCCACGACGCCCTCTACACCGGCGGGTGCGACAACGCACACCCATTTGTCTGCTTTCTCGGCGTCGGAGAAAGTGCGCGTGAAGTACTTCGGGGCCAATCCTGTCGCGGTGGGGAATGCCCAGATCTGCAGGAGGTGCGCAGAGTGTGCGCCGTGCGCATGCTCCGAGTGCTGTATGCCAGACCCGGCCGACGTCATCTGGATGTCGCCTCGTTTGAGAACTTCGTTATGGTTCATCGTGTCCCGGCTGAATGACAGACGCGTTGTTGATCGCAGGGCTTAGGAAAGCCTGGGTACAAACGATACGCACTGCTCGAGTTCGCCGCCGACGATATATGAAAATATCTCGAAGTCTTGGTGACGGTGCAAGCCGAAGCCTGTCCCCTCCGCAATGCGATCCTCGTTGATGACACGCAGGGGACCCCAGCGCTCGTGGTCTGGACGGTCGAACCTGGAGAGATCAGCAATGAGACTGTAACCTCATGCGGACGATTCATGTTGCTTACCCTGGCGCGCTGAAGGTATGAAAAGCTTTGAGCCAACCGAGGTCACGCTGGCCACGCTCGGTGTTGGGGCGGGGAGTGACCTTCATTGCCTTCAAGGACGATGAAGCGCGTATGTAGACTTGCAGACGGGCTGTACCGAGAGTGAGTGGTTCGATGGCGCCGTTTCTCCTTTCCATTAACAACACCGACTTTATACTCCGTTGCATAGCGCTCGTTTGAAGGTGCAATTTCATTGACTGTGTGAGCTGACGTAACGGATTACAGAGCTTTAGGCACTGACTTTGACAAAACATTACTATAGGTCCAAGCTGGGCGGCGATGGGCGTTCAGTATAAGCATTCCCACCCGTTCTCACGGTGTTCCATCACACATAAGCCCGCTTACAAGTCAGGTTCAACGCAAACCCCTGCCCGGAGCACGCTCATTTACAACAATTATGATATTGTCTGATGCTGCTATCGGAGACAGTGCGAGATAATGGAAGAGCGGGGCTTGCGAACCCACAACGGCCAGAACGGATTTCAAGACCCAACAACGTTCGCTGCTGCGGCATCAAGAGCGAACCGCTTAGTAGACACGCTTGAAGGGCGGGACCGACTTGCACTCGTTCTCGTCGAGCGTGTTGTGGATCACGCCACGGTACTTGATGTCGACCTCGGGCGAGCTGACGTCGCGCTGCCACGTGAGGGTGTGCTTCATCCACTTCTCGTCGTCACGCTATGCAATTGTGTGAGCGACCAACCCAGATAGATGAATGTCAGGGAGACGAACCTCGGGGAAGTCCTCACGGGCATGCGCACCACGCGACTCCTTGCGGGCAGCGGCGGCGGTGATCGTCTGAACGGCGCACTGGAGGATGTTGCGCAGCTCGAGGGTCTCAACGAGGTCACTGTACAGGGGTAATCGCGTCACCAACGACATTGATAGACACGATATGGGGATTTGGAACGTACGAGTTCCAAATCATACTCCTGTCCTTGATGCCGACCTGGTCGAAGCTCTTGTAGATCTTGCGGAGCTTCTGGACACCCTCATCGAGGGTCTCTTGAGTACTATGGACGAGCCATCAGTATTGTACCTCCCCAATGATAGCACCCAAAGTGTTATACCGGAAAACAGCCGCATCGGCCTGCATGGCCTTCTGCATGTCCAGCCGGATCTTCGCAGTGGGCAGAGGGCCGTCCGACTTGCGAATCTGGTCGAGGAACTTGACGCTCTGGAGGCCAGCCTCAGCTGGGATCTCCTTGTGGGGCTTGCCGGGAGTCAGCGTCTCCTTGATGTGGTGCGCGCACGCGCGGCCAAAGACGACGATGTCGAGAAGCGAATTCGCGCCGAGACGGTTCGCACCGTGAACGGACACGCAAGCGGCCTCACCCGCGGCGTACAGGCCAGGGACGACCTTGTCCTTGCCGTTCTCGTCAACGGTGATGACCTCGCCAGTATAGCGCGTGGGGATACCGCCCATGTTGTAGTGCACGGTGGGCAGGACGGGGATCGGCTCCTTCGTGACGTCGACTCCCGAGAAGATCGCTGCCGTCTCAGAGATACCGGGGAGACGCTCGTGGAGGATCTCCGGAGGGAGATGGCTGAGCTGGAGGTAGATGTGGTCTTTCTCGGGACCAACACCACGACCCTCGCGGATCTCGATGGTCATGGAACGCGAAACGACGTCGCGGGACGCGAGATCCTTTGCCGTCGGCGCGTAACGCTCCATGAACCGCTCACCCTCCGAGTTGAGAAGGTATCCACCCTCGCCACGAGAACCTACGTGCCAAAAAAATGTGAGTATATGCGCGACTAGTGACACAGAAATGCGACGGACGCACCCTCTGTGATAAGACAGCCGGCACCGTAGATACCGGTAGGGTGGAACTGCACGAACTCAAGGTCCTGCAGAGGGAGACCGGCGCGGGCGACCATGGCGTTACCATCACCCGAGCAGGTGTGCGCACTCGTGCACGAGAAGTACGCGCGGCCGTAGCCACCGGTGGCGAGCACGGTCTTGTGCGCACGGAAGCGGTGAAGAGTGCCGTCCTCCATGTTGAGCGCTATGACACCGACGCACTCGCCGTTCTCCATGATCAGGTCGAGCGCGAAGTACTCGATGAAGAAATTGGTGTTGTGACGAAGGGACTGGCCATAGAGGGTGTGAAGGAGAGCGTGGCCGGTACGGTCGGCCGCTGCAGCGCAACGGTAGGCCTGGCCACCCTTGCCGAATTTGAGGGACTGACCACCAAAGGCACGTTGGTAGATCTTGCCCTCTTTCGTTCTTGAGAAGGGGACACCGAAGTGCTCGAGCTGTGATCAACGGGCGTTAAAACGAACAGGCCTAACGTAAGGCACGCCCGTCGCATTCCGTACCTCAATGACAGTGTGAGGAGCCTCGCGACACATGTAGTGGATAGCATCTTGGTCACCAAGCCAGTCGGAGCCCTTGACCTAAGGGGAATGAGCTTGGAAGAGGAACCTCGAGTAGCGACGTGACATACCGTATCGTACATGTGCCATCGCCAGTCGTCCTCGGTCATGTTCTACACGCCTCCGTCAAACCAATGCATATGGGAAAACCAAATTAACCGTAACTTACTCCGAGCGCAGCGTTGATACCACCCTGGACGCATACATGAGCACTGACGTCAACGATGAACGGGTCCATATGTATACGTACCTGAGCCGCGACAGTGTGACTACGGGTGGGGAAGAGTTTGGTGATACACGCCGTGTTGAAGCCGGCCTCCGCCAAACCGAATGCTGCCCGCAGACCGGCACCGCCAGCTCCCCTAAGAGCAAGCCCAAGTGGGGTCAGTGACACGAGCTTGATATCACCAACGGAAAAGGCACTCACACGACGATGGCATCGTACTCGTGTTCGATCAGAGGGTACTTCCCAAAAGACTGCGAAAGTAACACCAACTCAGCTCATCGCCTACGTATGAGAGACAGGCGAACGTCGAGCGAGGACAGACACGGACCTGGACCTCCTGTGCCTTGACCGGGTTCGTCGCGACGACTCTGCGCGCGGGGGCAGACGAGTGGAAGGACCTCGCGGACGACGCGCGAAGGCCCTTGTTGAGGGATTTTCTGAGCATCACGGCGAATGAAGGAGGACAATGTCGCGGACGACGATGGGGATGCGGAGGGAGTTGTAGACGAAGGCGTCTGCGTCACGACGGGCCAGGCTCGGCACCCGTTCCCCGAAAGCCCGTCTGCGGCCGAAACCAATCACATTCGTGTGATTTCTGCCTCCGGCTTCTGCCATAGCGCTTACCATCTCCCGTCGAATTTCACGAGGGTTCCCCTTTGTTGAACTTGGACTTATCCGGTCCGGACTACACGAGGCTATGCGTCTCCTAGCGCTTAGCTGTAGTCGCTTATGTAGTATGTTACCATATTTGGGACTCTCTGCTCGTGTACTATAGCTATGTTTCCGGACTCTTCTGGTACTGTCTAGGACAATCCGTATTACTCCAGAACGGTCTAGACAGGTCTATGCCTTACTCATCTCTTACTCATCCTATGGTGCGATACGTCGCAATTCTTTCACCATCGTATTATTCATCGCACTATGGTACATGTGACTAACCACTCTTCGATTAGTCATGGACACTTCTCTGTAGTATATAAGGACTTCAGATTGCGTCCTCCCTCTTCAGTCTTTCCTTACTGACTGAAGAGTGAGTACTTCATTACCTTTACCTCTAACTTGTAGTTACTTACTTAACCTTTGTAGTCTTGCTTCGACTCTAGGTACAGTTGGTTACTGCAATATAGTCTTTCCTTACTGACTGAAGATCTTG